TGGTAAATTTTACAGAATACCTGAATGAATTTATTCTCTTATAAAATACTTAAGTGAATTTGGACTCTCTGGTATCTCTGTAGGGATGCAGTAGAGACAAGGACAGAACAGAGTGGAGAGGGACAAGGACAGAGAGACAAGGGGAGCCACGCCCAGAGGAGCCGACAGTACAGAACAGCGTGGGACTAGGGCCAGAAAACTCAGTCCGCTCACACTGATGACTTTCAGCTCACCATTTGGTGCAAGGTTAGGACATGGTACGTTAGCTTTTTTTTCTTTAAGAAAACATTTTATTTTTTTTTTTTTGATTCCCATTTCATCCATAAGGTATATGCTTTGGGTAGTGAATTCTGAAACTTGCCATATTGGTGGTTGGTGCTGAATTTTTGTTGTATTTGTTTATTCTGTGGTGAATTTATTTTGACTCAAAAAGGTTAACTACATTGCCTGGTCTGGTTTTAAGATTTGTGATAGTTAGGATGGGACTTGAAGTGTTTTTGAGTTTGTGGAGTTACATTAAAATTGAAAGTGGCTGTCCATCTACTGTCACAGCAAATTGGGCTGCACAGAAATATACATATAAAACATCTTTATGTATATTTACCATGTTTGGTGATGGGACTTCAGTGACAACTGGATGAAATCAACTGCACTAATGCATCAAACAGAACGAAAAACGTCAAACAATAAAAAATACAAAGAGAGAAAGGACAGGGGAGAGAGAGAGAGAGAGAGAGAGAGAGAGAGAGAAAGAGAAAGAGAGAGGTGGAAGACTGGAGGGTTGTGTGAACGTTGTTACAACATTGGACAGATACTGGAACACCACAGCACAGAGAGAGAGACAAGTATTAGGAAAAATGATTTAATATCGGAGACAGAAGCAAAAAACTGCATCACACAAGAACGTACATTTACAAAAATAAGTCCGACTGCTTCAGCTACACAGTTAGGTTAACAGCGAAGGACAGAGAAACCAGAAAAATCTAAACAGCTAAAAGCAAAAAAGTCCTCAAATTACTGTTTTATCTCTTTGTCAAACTAATACATTTATCCACTGAAGGTGACTAAATACTTCTAAGTCTTCTAATCGTCTTATCATGGAGACTGCACAATACTGAACGAAATGAAACTTACCGCTGTTGTAAAGACTTTTTGAAAAGACAGACTGCTTTAAGTATATTTATAAGCCAAAAGGAAAACTCCCGACCCTCTTTCCAAAAAGCAAAACAAAATAGAGAAAGAAAATCAAAATGCTGCAGTGAAGAAGAACAAGAAGAAGAAGAGGTCCAAGGTCAAAGATACCAAGCCAAAGTTCTCCTAGAAAATCTTTATATTAAAACCTAACCATTCTGGATGCCAACTAGAAATCAAACTCGGGAACCAGCCGCTGGCTGACCCCTGGTTTGGGTCAGACAGACTCTCAAATAGTTTTTTTTTTCTTTTTTTTTCTTTAATTGCCAGTATAAAAAGTTGCACTGGTACAAAAGGCATAAGTACAATCAGTTTTAGAAATAGGAAAGCCTGCTTTTTTTGTACTTTTTAAATCCCATCCAATGACAGATTTCAAAGTGTTGTCAAACAAACATGTACCACGCTTACAGAATCCACTGAAATGCATTGACTTTGGCTTTTCTCAAGACAATACTTAAAACTATTTAAACCCTTTTAGAATCAAACAAAATGATATTAATCTACAGACGACAAGCTTTTTTTTATACGGCACATCAGATCAACACACATACATTTTTTTTTCCAAAAAACTTGACATAATAAGCCAAAATGCAAATAAACTACACTTTTTTCTTTAAAATACACTGTTGTTAAATAGCACTTAAGAGAAAGAAAAAAAAGAAAAACAGAAAGAACAAACAGATTTAAGAGAAGATGTGTGTGGTGAAGAAAACCCCTGAGTAAAGAGCCTCAGCAAGCACTTCTGCAAAGACCCCTGCGAGTTTGTGCTTTACTAAACATCTAACAGATGTGTGTGTATATGTGTGTAGGAGTGTGTGTAATGAAATCTTACCCTGTTAGTTTGATACAAGTGAAGCAGACTAGTTAATGAAGTATGTTGAAAACACACACTACAAAGAGAGCAAACATTAGCTCTTTCAGCTCCTTTTGGAGCTCTAACACTGAGACAACTTGGAGTTAAACCCTGCCATTTGACACTATAGAACATAGTGACCCAATATTTTCTATTAATTCTCTATCTGTTGTTATGACTATCATTTCATTTGACATCACATCTCATGGATTGGAAGAGCTGTCAGGAGAGTCAGATGTAATACTGCATACGATCATTGTGCTAGCATATTGTGTGTGTGTGTGTGTGTGTGTGCGTGCACCTCCATGGCTGTGCAAGTGGTCATAGAGTTTGGCAAAGCTAACAGTAAAGCCATACAAACCTCTCTGCCTGAACTCGTACTGGGACGTGCCCCACTTCGCGTTCTTGAAACTTCAGAGTGTTTGGCAAGTCCAGTTTTGGCGTTGTTTACTCGAACGTGCATTGGGACAAAACATGCATTCACAACACACGTGCACACGAAAACTTGGAACTCTTTTGTATACAGGCAGCAGCCCATTCCACCCCACTAATACTGAGTGTCAGTGTTAAGGCAACGGCAGAATTTGGGTAGAAAATAGTGCTTCAGAGTGAAGTAAACAGGGTTTTCTAGGGGGGCTGGCTGTAAACTACACTTGTAAACAAGCTCGGGCCATTTACAACACGTGTAAACGTTTCGACAAAAGTGCTATTGGAAATGTTACTGTGGATAGTCCTGTTCTCCTTTGGCGTCAGGGTGTTTTTCTAAGACCTTGGAGTAGTTAGTCCTGAAGAGGCGGAGAGAGGCAGCGAAAAGCAGAGAAACAGAGCTGAGGCGAATTTCTATCTAGAGTCCAGCAACAAACATTCCTTACCACATACCTTGAGTTCACCATGTATATGTGTGTGTATGTGCGTGTGAAGAAAGCTAATGTTGTGAATAGTCATAATAGTCACTTTTCTCTGTATTTGAGATGTTATTGTGCCATTGGATGATACAGGATGCCAATCCAGATGTGTGCAGTTGCTAATGGATTACTGCGAGTTTATATGTAACCCATGCTTTGAATAGAGTGGTACGTGAGAACCTGTGTGTGTGTGTGTGTGTGTGTGTGTGTGTGTGTGTGTGTGTGTGAGGAATGTGCACTGCTGAGACTCATGCCCAGGGGCTCACATACACACACCGTCAAAGAAAAGAGGGCTGCGAGGTCAACCTTTAGCACAGGTGTGTGTATGCGTGCATGTGGGTGTGGATGTGCGCGTGCATGTGGATTTGTATGTTTGTGTGTGCATGTGTGAGAGAGAGAGAGTGTGTGCTTGTGAAAGAGAGAGAGAGAGAGAGAGATAGAGAGAGAGAGAGAGCGAGAGCATGACACATGGGCACTTTTTACATCTTTACAAAAAAAGCAAAAAACATGAACAGTTCAGGCAACAAGACCACAGAAGAGCAAGTTAACAACCTTTTTAAATCTATATCTTTAAATATGAGGGATCCATACAAAACACTTACGTAATAAAATACCCATGTTATCAAATAATTTCACAAGTAATACACTGAAGCTGTAGGCAGGATGTACCGTCAGAATTTGGCACTAAATTCCACTCATCTTGTTTTTTTCTTTATAAGAAAAAAAAATCACATTTTGCTGAACAACATAACACATCTAAATATTGTTTCCCACAATAGAAATAAAAATAATAATAATAATGACATTGATGCTTCACAAGCTGACATTGTAACTCGTTAAATGTTTATATAGCTAATTACCCAACAAGAAATTTAGCAAATAGGGACTCTAAAAAAAAAAAAAAAAAAACAAAAAAACAAAAAAAGAAAGAAAAAAAGAAAAAAACAATTATACTGTAGTAGCAATAGTACTATGATAGGCTTTGTCTATGTTCAAGTAAACTGATTTTTAGTCTTCTCTTTAAAAACATGAGACAAATAAGACTATTAGACTTGTGATGAAACCACGACTTAATCCACGAAAAGCACCGACGGAAACGCGGGTCACACAAACTCTGTTTTTTTTTTTCCTCTATACATTTAAACAGTATAAAATATAGGTCATTTCATGTGCATTTATACCACGGATTGTCTAACTGTAGGTCAGTTCAGCAAAAGGTGTGACATGTAGGTAGCATTTCCCCCAAACAGGGCACTCTTTTTTATTGTTTTTTTTTTATACCTTTACTACTCTAGAAAAAAGTGGTTTTATATAGACTTTAATGAGAAACCAAGCCACTTAAAATGGCCTTATCAAAAAACTTTACACTGCCTGAAAAATGTAAAAACCACAAGCGAGCTCTGAGAGACTCTAATATCAATCGGACAGTTTTTTTTTATTAAAACTGCGTGGAAGTAGTCTATTTCTCATAGAAACCGGCATGGTGCTCTTACTGTTGGCCTCATATTGCGAGATGTGCCAACAGTAAGTCCCAAAGCCAATCCCTGTATTGTACTTTCAAGTTTACTTTAAATGAATAAAAGAAAAAAAAAAGAAAGAAAATCTAAACATAAAGAGAGGAAAAGTATTGAGCTAACAAACAGAGGTCAAATGCAAATTATTTTAATTCTTTTGCCACAGGTTTTTTATGCATTTATTTGTTTGTTTTTTGTTTTGTTTTTTTTAATTTCTTAAAATGATGCTTCTGGTTATGGTATTAAATATACTCTACCTATTTGTGAGTGAATGCAGCTTTTTCACATTTATTATTTTTTTCTTCCTTCTGTCCCCCATCCCTCCCTCACCCGTTATTCCAAGAACATTAAAAAAAACAAAAAAACTAATAATAAAAAACAACAAAAACTAACAAAAAATAAGCTCAAAATGAGGTCACATGCAGATCAAGCTAAGATCAAAAGTTGAGAGATCAGTAGGAGGAGACCAGGTTATGATCAGGAGAACTCAGAAAGACATCGGAAACAATGACGAGACGATGAGACTTTTTTTTTTTTTTGAACGCCACGTAGACATGCTAGGCAAACGATGAGCAAAGAGTCATGGAGATGAGTTCTAGGGAAGAAAACGGGAGAGGAGAGTTACACACACAGCTCTGGCACACAACTACAGCATTAAAACCATGAGAACAACAAATGACAAACAACAATAACATCAACAACAACAACACCAACAACAACGACGACAACAACAACAGCGCTACTGACCAGCTGTGCACCAACAGAACCATTCTTAATAGAGGTATTTTTTTTTACTATTCACTTTTTTATTTATTTTTTAACACATATTTCAAATGGGTAAACATATATGTAAATGACACACTCACTCACACACACACACACACACACACACACACACACACACATCAAACACCTTATGCGCGTGCACACGCACACACACGCAAACACATTCACACACACACACACACACACACACACACACACACACACACACACATAGCACCCAAAAGTATCCATCAGTGACTAGTCCCCAGTTTGAGACAGCTAGATGGATCTTGATTTGGGGGGGGGGTAAATAAATACGCCGAATTTATTGTAACAAACGAAACAAAACACCAGACGAAGCTAAATGAAACATAAGGAAAAGGAGCAAGAAAGAGATTGCACATATGAAGTGCCACTACTCATGAGGAGAGGCAAAGTGTAGGAGGGAACGAGAGAGAAAGAGAGAGAGAAGGAGAGAGCTAGGAAATAGGGCTTCACAATTCACAATTGAGTGTTAATCAAAATTGCAATTTTGGCCTCTGTAATTGACTAAGGCTGTTTGTGGCATTTCTGCTGCATGATAATGAAGCATTTTTAGTTTTTAACCAGGATTAGCCTCCTCACTGCACTGTGTATTGCGACCGCTGATCAGTCTCTGCTGTTCCCATTGAGGACTAATGACAGAAAGTCCATCAACCTTACAAACATAAGGCATTTCTGCAGGCTATGATGTAACTACGTGTTAAACTGTTATATACATACCATTTTTAATTCCAATTAATAACTGCAACAAACAGGATCACTTTTTGTGACAATCATGCAGCCCCATGATACAGAAATGTGATTTGGGACATGACGGATGGAAGAAAGGGAGTTGAACAATGGAGAGAGAGTTGGAGAGGGAGAGAGGAAGGGAAATGAGAAAAGTGAGAAATGAGATAGAGAAGGGGAGAGAGAGAGAGAGAGAGAGAGAGAGAGAGGGAGAGAGAGAGAGAGAGAGAGAGAGAGAGAGTGAAAGAGAGAGAGAGAGAGAGAGAGAGTGAGAAAGAGAGAGAGAGAGAGAGAGAGAGGGAAAGAGGAGGGTGATTCTGTGTTCTCTTCACACAACAGGTTGTGTGGCTTCAGAAGACTGAACAAGGCTCCAAATAAGTGAGAGCACGTCTTTAGGAACCCAATAACTTAACCATAATAAATAAAGTCTTTTACTTCAGAGGCAGTAGAAATTCTGTATAAAAATAGAACTGCTTTTTTTACAAATAAAATTTACAGGCCTGTGGCTTTCTGTACTTTGATTTTTTTTCTTTCGATAAACATCAAGTATTTTCAGTTTTACCCCCCCACCCCGAAACTTAGAACGCTTTATTAGTTTCTTTTTTTTAGCCATCAACAGATCAAAATCTCTTTTTTTAAATGCTCTACACAAAAATGCTCTGTGTGACAAAAACCACAATGCTCTGACCCATAAAAGTTTGAACTGAGGAACTAATTTTTACTAAACTAAAAATCCCGTCTGACAGAAAAAAAAACAAAAAAAAAACAACAACAAAAAAGTTTTAACGTTTAATGGCAGGTGTTTGTGGAGAGTCTGTTTTGGCAGTTGTTGCCGTTCGACTACAGAGAGGCCACAGCGGGTTTAACCCTTTTCTCTCTGGTGCCAGTGGGCAAAGGGGTCAAAGAAGCAGCGGAGCCCGCAGCCGACACCAGAAGTCAAAGGGCGAAAAAAGGTTTAACGTGCATATTGGTGCTTTTGCTCAGGTCTGACCCATTCCTACGCGTTCTCACAAGCCTCAAGTTCACAAAGAGAAACTAATCGTAGTTTAGAGATCTTTCCTTTCTGCTGTTGTTGTCGTCATCATGAAACGAAATAGGCATCGTATAAATATTTACTTAAAAATACAAAACAAATTAAATAGTGTACACAACTCAAAAATAATAATAATAATAATAAAAAAAAACTAGCAATAGTAGCTATTCATTCATCGCAAGTCATACAAAATAATGGCAAAAATGGAAGCGTTCATGTGAAAAATATAAACCAAATAATAATAATAATAATAATAATAATACTGCCATCAAAAAAAAAAAAGCTTAAAAAGAACGTTTGGGGAAAGTAGCTCCCTCTAGCGGTGTAAGGGTGAAACTCCCTCCCATGTTCCCCCCTTCCCTCCCGGGGTCCCAGTGTGGTTGCCGTGGCAGCGGTGGGGACTTACCCTAGCAGTGTAAAGAGAGAGAGGACTGGCCCTAGCGCTAAGATCAGTAGGGCTTGCTGTCGTTCTTGGAGCGCTTCAACTGCACCTTCAGACGCTTCATTCCAATTTGAAAACCGTTCATCGCTTGGATGGCGGCCTGCGCGGACACAGGATTGTCATAACTGACGAAACCTGAGAGGTGGAGAGAGAAAAATGTCATTTTTGCATACAAGATACAAAAAAGAGAATTCTCAACAACGCTTGACAGAATAAATAACCATTATTTGCTTGCAATTGCTTTGGCAATGTTACAGTTAAAGTATCCATGCTAGCTAGCTAGCTTGGTAAATAGATAGATAGACAGATAGATAGATAGATAGATAGATAGATAGATAGATACTACTACAAAAACAACATATCAAATGTTGAAATTGAGAAATTTTATTGGTTTTTGAAAAATACATGCCCATTTTGAATTTGATGCTGACAACACGTTCCAAAAAAAGTTGGGACAGGGGCATGTTTACCACTGTATTTGATCATCTCTTCTTTTAACAACAGTCTGTAAGCGTTTGGGAACTGAGGAGACCAATTGCTGCAGTTTTGAAAGTTAAATGTTTTCCCATTCTTATTTGATACAGGATTACAGCTGCCTATCAGTTCAGGGTCTTCTTTGTCATATTTTTCTTTTCATAATGCGCCAAAAGGTATCAGTGGGTGACAGTCTGGACTGCAGACAGGTCAGTTTAGCACCTGGACTCTAATGTGGAGCAATGCTGTTGCAATACATGCAGAATGTGGTTTGCCATTGTCTTTCTGAAATAAGCAAGGCCTTCCCTGAAAAAGACGTCATCTGGATGGCAGCACGTTGCCAAAACATGTATGTATTGTTCAGCATTAATGGTGCCTTCACAGATGTGCATGTCACCCATACCATGTGCACTAATGTTGCCCTGTACCATCATGAATACTGGCTTTTGAACTGTGCACTGATAACAAGCTGAGTGGTCTTTAGCTCAGAGGACACAGTGTCCATGATTTCCAAAAAGAATTTCAAATTTTGAAAACAGGACACTTCTTCACTTCCCCTCAGTCCATTTTAAATGAGCTCAGGCCCAGAGAAGGTGGCAGTGTTTCTGGATCCTGTTTATATATGGTTTCTTCTTTGCGTTTTAGAGTTTTAACTTGGATTTGTGGATGCAGCGACAAACTGTGTTCACAGACAGTGTTTTTCAAAAGTGTTTCTGAGCCCATGCAATGATTTCCTCTACAGAATCATGTCTGTTTTTATTGCAGTGCCACCTGAAGGTTTTTAGCCTTGTCCCTTACATGCAGAGATTTCTCCAGATTTTCTGAATCTTTTAATGATATTATGTACCATATATGATGAAAAGCAAATGTTTTCTGTTTTACATTGAGAAATGTTATTCTTAGATTGTTGCACTATTTGATCGTGCTGTCTTTCACCCCTCCTTATCTTTAATTCTGAAAGACTCAGCCTCTCAGACTCTGGGATGCTCTTTTTTAAACCCCATCATGTTACTGACCTGCCAATTAACCACCAGGTGTTTTTTTAGCATTACACAACTTTACCAGCCTTTTGTTGCCCCCGTCAAGGCAAAAGAGCAGAAGACTGGGAGAAATTAGGATAGAGTGTAAACACCATTTAACTAATTTTTTTTTTCTGTAGTCTTTTACAGTTCACCACTTTACTCTGAACTGCTAAGAGCTTTAATACACATCTAATGTGTGCGGAAATAAAAGAGTATGTGTGTTGGTGTGTGTATGTGTGTTTTCGGAAGACGTACTTTTCCTGTGTAAATGCTAATAATAATGAAATGAGTGAAGATGTTAATGAATCCTGTGTGTGTGTGTGAGAGTCTGTGTGTGTGTTTGTGTGTATGTGTCAGCCATACCGAAGCACTTGCTCAGATTGGTTTGTTTGTCAATGAAGACTTTGGCCGACACTACATTTCCAAAAGGCATGAACATCTGCAGAATGTCCTGGTCCCCGAACTCCTGCGGCAGGTGGTAGATGAAAAGGTTTGCCCCTTCTGGTCCTGCAGATACAAATACACATACACACACACACACTTATTTTTAAGCTTTCGCTGCTCCTTTTGCCCTGAGCTGTGAAAAAAGATTAAAAATCCAACCACTTCATTTGTAACTCAGTAACCCCTGGACACATGACCAACTGTGTGTGTGTGTGTGTGTTTTTTAGCTATGTTGTTTCACTTTCTTTACAGTGAACAAATGTCCCAAGAATCAAAGTCAGGGTATAACTTATTGGTCCTGGTTCTGCATATGGTATATTGTGAAAATGCCTTTGTGATACTCAGATTAACTGATATATTAGTTGACTAGTTTATGCAATCCCTACTGCAGAGGTCTTCAGTTTAAGACTTTTTTTCAAATTTCCTTTTTAACCATTGATAGTTAACCCATTCATGTCCAACTGTTAAATTTAATGGTCTAAGGAAAAATGCCAAAAATTGGTTTAAATGCTGACATTTCAGTTATACTTATTCACGGGTGAATAACTAACAGTACCCTTTTTTGGATAACATAATTTTCATATATTTTCATATATCATATAAACTGGATTTTAATTCTATCATTCTATAATTTTGTGAAAAACTATTAATTCTGTGAACAAAAGACTAAATTTCTATTATAAATTATATATTTTAAATGTTTTTCTTTTATTTTAAATTATACATATGGACTGTTTATTAATTGAACTGTTGGTGCAACTGACTGGCCATCTAGTGTCAGACATACAACCCCATTTCCAAAAAAGATGGGACGCTGTGCACAATGTAAATAAAAAGTACAAAGACAACATATCAAATGTTGAAACATTTTTGAAAAATGAATTCCCTTTTTGAATTTGATGCCAGCAACACATTTCAAAACATTGTGACAGGGTGTTACAACACCGCTTCTTTTAACAACACTCTGTAAGCGTTTGGGAACTGAGAAGACTGATTGCTGTGGTTTTAAAAGTGAATTGTTTTCCCATTCTTGCTTGACAGTTTGCGGTCTCATTTGTCATATTTTTCAAAATGCCTTTTGCTAAAATAAGCAAGGATTTCTCTGAAAAAGACTTTATCAGCCCCATATGTTGCTCCAAAACTTATATAAGTCATTCAGTATTAATGGTGCCTTCATAGATATGCAAGTTACCCATGCCATGTGCACTAATGCACACCCATACCATCATGCATGCTGGCTTTTGAACTGTGAGCTGATAACAAGCCAGGCGGTCCCTCTCCTCTTTAGCCCGAAGGACGCAGTGTCAGTGATTTCCAAAAAGATTTTCACATTTTGATTCGTCGGTCCACAGGACACTTTTCCACTTTGCCTCATTCAATCTCAAAAGAGCACGGGCCCAGAGAAGGCAACAGAGTTTCTGGATCCTGTTTATATATTGTCGCTGTCCAAAGAAGCACAAGTATCTCCAAAATAATAACTTCACAGGAGAGGGCAAAGGGCAAAAACATTCTTTACATTTAATGTAAGGTAATGGAAAGAGATTTTATTCTATGCAAATTTGGTGCATTTCTATTGGTCTAATCATCATGAAATTTTCACTCAATGTAAATGACAGCTGTTGAGCTCAAATGGTGCAGAAAAGTAAAAATCACAAAAAAATAGAGATCTTTGTTTTTCATTGGACATCAACAATATGGTTTCTTCTTTGTATGTTTTTACTTGGATTTGTGAATGGAGGCACCACCAGGGACAATGACGTAAAAACTTAGCACTAGCTATGGTGATGGGGAGACAGAGCTGTTTCCTGGGTATGGGTATGGGGGTGGGGAGACAGGGCTGGTTCATTGTTAGGGGTTGGGGATGGGGAGACAGCTGGTTCATTGGTATGGGTATTGGGTTCATATTAAGTAACTTACGTTAGGAGAGCAGAAGTAGCCTATTTCACTATGGACTAAGCTAACAGGTTCATTTGCACCATGCACAGACTACACCTACCTTTCTTTGTGAAAAACTGGGAGACATACTTTTTCTCTTTCCTGTCTTTCTTTCTTTTCATTTCTGAAAGCCAGATTTCTCTTTAGGAAGCTGAGACATGATTCTAACCTCCTCACTAGCAATTCACTGTTAGCAAGTACTATTTGCAAGTTAGCAAGTTGCCTGCATAGTCTTTCACACAGTGGTGAACTCCTCCCCATCTTTGCTTCTGAAAGACTCAGCCTCCCTGGGATACTCTTCTTATACTTAGTCATGTTACTGACCTGTTGCCAAATAACCTAATTAGTTGGGAGATGTTCCACTAGGTTTTTTTTAGCTTTACAAACTTTACCAGTCTTTTGTTCCCCAGTCCCAACTTTTTTGAAATGTGTTGCTAGCATCAAATTCAAAATGGGTATATCTTTTTCAAAAAACAATAAAGTTTCTCAGTTGTCTTTGTACTTCTCTTTTCAATTAAATATAAAGTTTAAATTATTTGCACATCATTGCATTCTGTTTTTATTTACATTTTGCACAGTTTTTGGAAACAGGGTTGTACCAATGGTTACAAAATCCAGGAATCAAAACTAGATTTATGGTCTGGAATGGAGAACCTGTGTTCTAGTGTATAGGTGTATGTGCACACATGCTCCTGCTTTACCCTCTTTCTGACTGCCGGCGGCACTCTGCTGCTGCAGTAGAGACTGGCTGTATAGGGTTGGCAGGGCTGCTGCTGCATACTGCTGGATCCCTGAGTAAGCCTGGGTGAGAGCGTCCATGGGCCCAGCCGAGCCGTTACTGAGCGCAGTGCTGCCCAAACCTCCGTTCAGGGCAGCCATACCTGAGAGCATGTGAGCAACTTTACATAAAACCCAACAATAAAGAAAAAAGAAGTGCACTTACTCGTTAGCGCTTGGGACTGGGGGAGTGTGTTTTTTCTACATCACAGCACAACACGCATACAAAAACAGGGAAATACAGACACTGAAACAATATACACGCTGTAGACATACAAGACAAAATTGTGACACAGTTTAACAAGGAAAATACAAGATATTCAGACACAAAACTTAACCGATAATTATTAGAAGACATATTTCGTAGACACACATTAACATGTCACAGTCACTAACGATAAAGACCACTGTTAACACAACGTTCCCACATCACACGCACACGCACACACACACAAACACACACACACACACACACACACACACACACAGACGAAAGATAAATACCATTTATTGCACATAACGGTGTAAGCGAGTGGAAAGCGTGGCCAACACATGCAAACTACGTCACAGCAGCAGCATGTCACACTCACAACAACAAGAAGCCCAAACAACAAACTCTGCTTCTTTACAAGCTCCATATATTCATCATTAAAAAATGTCTTCAAGACATGCTCAAAGTATCACGCCTTATTCTCGCTATAACTAAGGTCTATGCATTCCAGTACTTCTCAAGAATATTGACCAAACAAATATTCAGTTTTCTAGCATGTTTCTTCCATTTTACAAAAAGACCACTTTAGCTTTACACGTTACTTTGTTGTTCTTGCTTAATAATTAATGTTAAATAAACACAAGCCATCACTACTGTTTAAGATTCACTCTCACAACAATGAAATTGTAATTTGGTTCTTTAAGAATACAAAACTGCAGGATGAATTGATCTTTCCCAGTTGACTATACAAATGAATCTGTTTGCATAAGCAAATAAAGATCTCACACATAAACTCTGGAAGCTAATGGGGTCCAATCGGTTTGCTTTCTTATTTCATGTGTGTTTATGATTACAACTAAACATCTTTAGCTCTTTCAAGCCTACCTTAAGGCTTGTTTTATTGTGATTTGTGTAGTCTTGTTGTCATTTTTGGAAGAAACAGCAAGAATTATATCTACATTCACAGTTTCCCAAGATAACCAACCTACGAAATCATAGACAAACTATCTCTGTTTCTTCAAATATACGTGACAGCTTGGTGAACAAAGAAAATGGTCTGGTTAGACAAACTGGAGCTTGCTAAGTAGCTCAAAATCTTTACCTCTATGGGTAAAAAATGCATCTTATTCACTCAAAGAAGTGTGAAGCATGGGTGCTTTAAAGACACAGAGTTTTGCCCTTCCAAAATGTACCTATGATACATGAGCAAATTAACCTATTGTCTATCTTTCCCACATAATATACATTGAAAAACAATGACAAAATGTGACTTTCCAATGATGACAAGGACTTTGCAAGGATAGGACATTATGGAGATACTCAGTGGACTGCTTGGATTTATGGGTGGCAGATTTTATTAACTAAGGAACTGGCAAACCCATCAAATACACATTCCAAAAGTCAAAGACAAGATAGGCAATAAATCCAGAATATCCAACGTCATATTAGAGACACACAAAGGCCCCAAGCTGTAATTGTAATTCTGGTTAACTTGAGTTGTTTTATAATAGCAGGTGATGGGTTTCAGGTGTTTTCCATGAGGAGTGCTGGGTGGTGTTAGTAGGAGGAGATGCGACTGAGAATGTGACCATTTTACTGGATCCCATGAGAAAAAATGCTTTTTTTTACACACACTGCAGTATGTAAGTGATTTTTACCCTTAGACCCTTAGAACTTTAAAGTTATTTTTGCTGCATATCCCATAACTCCATAATTAATTCCATATGTACCCATATAATTAATTACATTTACACTAAATTTCCAGATCAACTGCATGTCTGGCTTTTTACAATTATAACAATGTCAAATGATAAAAATATGACTGTCTGCACAGAGTTAGCTTTTCAGATTTAATTTTACACTGAATTCAGATCATAATAAAATATTTTCTCTTCTACTTACAAACACAAATGCAGTATCGATTGAAAGTTTTGAATCTGCAAGTTGCATAGACTTTATTCGCTTGTTTCTATGAGTTAAGACAGAGAAATAATACAAAATTACAACATATTTCTTTATCAACAGCGATAACTAGAGCTTATTAAGGATCACTGCTTCAAAATTAATGACCTGTTAGACTCAAATTATGCTTGACCTAACTCAGATTTTACATACAGTACAACACCTGCCAGTAAAGAAATGTGGTAGTAGAAATCGCTGTCTACAACCATTTAAAGAAAATGCTTTCTCTTTGATCCATTCAGATCCAATGTGTAAAACAATTTGTTCCGTCTACTGAGTGCAAGATCCAAGTGTTTGTGTGTGTGTGTAAGTGTGTGCGCAGAACCACTGATTCATGCATATTTACTGACTGGCCTTTTGGCTTGACGGCCTGCAAACAATAAATGATGAGCGGGGTGCTTAGACTGCAGCTTCCTCATTTATTCTGCAATAATTACAATACTGACCTTTAGTATTCAATTAAACTATACAGCCTCTTAAATGAGCAATGTGTGTGTGTGTGTGTGTGTGTGTGTGTGTGTGTGTGTGTAAGAAAGTTATTTGAATGAATGTAAAATGGATGATGTTCTATTTGAGAGAGGTTGATTTATAAAACCAGAAACCTAGCCCAAAGGTCATTTTGGAAAGATGGAGACATCAGGATCAGGTCACTCACACTCACACACACACACACACACACACACACACACACAAAAGCAAAATTTAAATGAGTGTCACAGCATCCACACTCTTTCCCCTATAGTGTTAATGGTTAATTGGATTTCAAATACTACACACACCTCATTCTACCAATTCAGAAAGGCCTTTCTCCCTCCTGCAGCAAAGTAACATATCAGCCCCATAACATCCTGAATTACAAACACTAATCACTGTCTCATCTTAACAACAAACCCACAACCTAGCGAAATCAACCCTAATAGAGAATGGTTTCCAGTCCTTCTAGAGAGCACACAAGCACTACAGTACAAAAGCAAATCATTCTTTATATTATGTAAACCATGAAATACAAGGCCGGACACCCATACGCTCACATAAGCCAACAACCTCACAACAGCGACACAATTAGCAATACAATAGATGTGTACAAAAAGACAGAGAGCAATGGATTAGCAGAGTGTCAGGTGCGTGAATGTGTGTGTGGAGACAGGGCAAAGAGGAGTTTGCTGCACATTCACATACACAGATGCCAGAGAGTAACAGAACTATAACGATATTCAGGAAATGAATGCAGATCCAGTTCAGGAGTCGATTACTGATTTTAGTCAAACCAGTCTTTCATGAATTGATAATCATTTCCTGAATTGGACAAACTGTAAAACATAAAATACCAATAACATAGATACATAGACACAGATACACAGACAGACAACCAAAGGTGGAAAGGAATAAATTGCAACTTATTTTGTTATAGTACTTGAGTATGTTTTTCCCCTGAAACATTATTTTTTTGTGTATAAGTAAATCATATAAAAATTATGCTATTTATACTTTTGACTTTAACAAAATATAAAAATGAGCTGTTTTATTTAATTGTTTAAAAAAAGGTGTTAAACATGAAGCAATTAGCAAATCTTAAAATGATTGAAAGCTGTTATTTGCACATTCTTTTGCAAGTGTGTGTTACCTACCTAATGTAGCTGATAGAAGCTAATTGTTAAGGAAAGCTAATGGGCATGTTAGGTATCCAGTAAACCCAAGTCCTTTGCACCCCCCAGAACCTGGTACATTTTTGCTTTCTTCAGTCTTGCAGGCAGTGTAAACAGTATTTTCCTGACCTGAATTTATATTTGCTTTAAAAATCATATTAAACAGGATGTGATACCTTTTATTTCTGAATCATGCAAACAGTCACACAATATTTTTCTCACACAAAAACTGAAAACTGCAAAACTGTAAAAACAAAAATGTCATAAAAATCATTCTACTTTGTGTCAGTGTTGTGTAGCTTTTGCCTAGTAGCAGCCAGGTACACATGAAGGACAGTTTTTACCATTTCTCTCAAGGGGATTGAACTACAGTCATACAAAATGTGACAGTGACACTTTGTACTCGCAACAACTAAATGCTAATGTAAAAACAATTAGCCATCCACAGAAATTGTACTTGGTCTAGTACAGGTACATTGCCATGCCAGTCTTACTAGGATTTTGACTCAGTCTTGGATTCACCACACTTTTACTGAGTAGTTTTTTTCTTTTTAAATGTTTACTTGTAGTTAAGTGAATTTTTACTATAGTAGCAGTGCTCTTCATTAAGCAGGTACTCTTTCCACCCTTGCAGAGAACAGACACACACACACGCACACACACACATAGATGACAACACAAACAGCAAACTCCCATCAGACCCAGAGAGATGCCCTTCTTAACTCTGATCATTTGTTAAGTTCATGGCTGTATGTGTGTGCTAATGTGTAGCTGCATTCTTGTGTTGATCGTCAGTACAACTACCTAACCCAAAAGTGATGAACATTCCTTCAAGATTTCAGAGTCAATGGTTGTTAATCCTTTATTTTCTTATTACTCATTATATTTGCTTGTAAAACATCTGTAACCAGTGGTTGCATTTTGTGTATAATGAGCATTATGTATAGTTACAGTAGAGAGGCAGTGAAATAAGTCAAAATAAGTTTGTGGATGCTTGCTGTAGCCTTGCATAGGCTACAAGATCATACAACAAAAAACAGCAGTGATCTATTCTAACAGTGTATCCTTTCACAGGCATACTAAATAAATGCCATTTACAACTACAACAACTAACACTCTAAATTTAGTGAGTTGTGCACTACAGTTTCTCATTAGGCTGAATGTGATTTTTCCCTGCATTCTGTGCCAATCCTGCAACAGTAGCTATGACCGCATTTATGGGCACAACACAAAAAGGTCAATTATGGCTTCACAAGTAGGAAAGCATCTGATGAGCACATGCATATGTGTGTACACTGAGTGGGTGTCTCTCTGGGCAAACACAGCGGGCATATGTGGGCGTACTGGAGTGAAATGGGTGAGGCGGATGCAGGGCTATACTCACTGTTGACGCTACCTGCTAGTGCATTAATGTTGTTGAGACCGACAGTGGCCCCGGCCAGCCCCTGCAGAGTCCCCAAAGAGCCCAGAGAACTCATAGCTCCTGCACTGGAGTTAGCAGTGGAACCTGCTGCTGGGAAAGAGAGAGAGGGAGAGAAAAAGAGAGAGAAAGACAGAGAGAGAACAAGAGACAGAAATACGCAGAGAAAAAGGAAGAGAGGGACAGACAAGGAGAAAATAAGAGATGGGGATAGTATGTTATAGGGCACAGAACAAAATAGGTATGGCTCTGAAATGTTCAATATTTTTAACCTCTGAAAAAAGTTTAGCTCTCTTTCTCACATACACACATACAAAGTGTAAAAGCGGGGTACAATCCAGGGGAGGATGATGATGATGAGAGACAGACAGCACATGGCCTTGAAAAAGGGAAAAAATGTGGAAAAAGTGTATACTGTACAGACCAAACGTATAAGAAGCTGTGATGTTTAAAATTTTCCATTTGTCAATAGCCAAGGCATGTTTATTGACTTGTAGCTTCAATCTGTTCCAGAACATTCAATTGGTATTGCAGTATTATACTCTTACTCTATTGTAGGGGTGGAAAATATGGCATAAATATGACATCCCAATATATCAAGACATTTTCACAATACACAATAAGTTTCACAGTATTTTGTTTTTTCTGAGGTTTGATGAGATATAACAGACAAATATACAGTTTAAAAGTACTATCAAAAACTATGAATATAATGTCTTTTTTCAGTGTTTCAAACATTCAGTTGTTCTCTAAGTACAGAAAAGATCCACATTTTATCCAGTTTATCACAATGACAATAAATATCGTCATATTGCCCACCCCTACTCTAGCGTATTCTGTGGGATAAGCTTTCTTCACACTTCTTTTTGAAAACAGTGCCTTACATTGAGCTCTTTTTAATTCTTTCCATTCTTCTAACGGTAACACTGAGTTGATAAAGCCTTCATGAACATTTGAATGAAGGAATGAGGTGGATCTGATTAGAGCTGCAATAAAACTCTGCAGGAGAATCAGCAGGAGCTAAACTCATTACCAGTCAGTTGTTGCACACAATATCGCCACACATTTAGGGAAAAAAAAACATCTGTTCTATATTATTAATTTGTTTTGGATGTTTACAAAGTTAGTGCTGCTTCCAAACGTTTGGCCTGCAATGTAGACCTTTCATTCACTTTCTCATTTACTGAGGGAAGGAAAGAGGAAAGGAGAGAATGAGTGATAAAGTAAGAGAGATGAAAAAAGATAGGCATGAAAGTAAAAACGATCCAGTGCTTCACCCAGTGTACTTTCCACCTGGAAGCAAAATTCCCCAACAAATAGTTCCAATCTTTCAAAACAGATGAAGATTACACTTAGAAAATCACAACAACTGTAAAACTTTCACTATCAAACATCTTACAGCACATATTCTATAGGATGAGGATGGCCGTCACCTCAGACAAATCAGAGGGGCTACGAGGGACCCAACAACACACACATACAGCCGAGATCTTTACGACATGAGCTTATAACTAAAGCATGGATAAAAGACTAGACAAGGACGAGGAGAGCGACTGATGAATGGAGGGAAGACACGTCTCCAGGGCTACGATGACGATGATTTTGGTGGTGGTGGTTGGCTAGTGTTTAGCATTGTGAGTAAAAATCATTTTATTAGCATTCTCTGATTAGCATTGTCTGAAATCTAATACATTATTATGTGACAACACCTAAGGGTACGGTGATGATGGTGATGGTAGCAGAGTTTGGTTAGCTATTAGCACTGTCAGCATTATGTTGACATTCTTTGAATAGTGCTCACTGAACAATCTTAGATTTTTATGTGACGACTCTAAAGGTTATGATGATTACGATGGTGGTGGTGAGAAGGATGATGGTGATGATGATGAAGGCTCTGGCTGGGCGGCCGCTGGTTACCTGGGCTGGCCAGGGCTCCCAGGGACCCTGTGCTGGAGGTCAGGGCGCTAGCGGTGGAAGGGCTGGCAGAGCTTTGTGCTGCAGCTGCAGCTGCTGCTAGAGTGGCCAGATTCTGTAACTGCAGAGCATTCATACCTGAAGAGAGAGAGAGGGTAAGTGTGTGTGTGTGTGTGTGTGTGTGTGTATGTGTTTGTGTATGTGACCACTGTATTTGTGTGTGTGTGGACAAATGTCAAGAAGGGTGGCTATGAATGCAGTGTGTATGCGGTTATATGTACGACTACTAGCAATGTGGAGTCATAAAAATGTAATTTTGGTGTAATTACTTTTTAACCGCCCTCACAGGTGTGATATTTTCAGAGTATTGTGTTTACCGTGAACTGTGAAGATTTTCAGAACCGTAACACACTAATGCTGTTTTCACGCCTAGTTTGTTTGCTAAAGTCTGCACCAGAGTTTGACTTTTTGTGACACTGTATCTTTTTCATTTGGTTCTGTTGATTTCATATTGCAACATCTAAAGTGCACTAAATGCATGGTCTTTGATTGGTCCGGAATTTGGCAGGGAGACAAGCACTCTGTTACTTTCACATTTGTCTCAATTAGTGCAAAAAATCTGATGTTTCTTGTTTGTCTTTTAGTATCCTATCCTAGTATAAAAACTAGACCTGTCCTCTAAATATATTTTTGAAAAATATGTACAATGCCATAAAACAGCTGTACATACATCAAGTACAGGGTCACATTGTAACAGCGTAGTAGAACTTTGTTAAATCACACCTGCTTTGCGTCTCTAAAACTTCTGGTGAGACTGAAACTTGCTTGACCACAAGCTCTGATAGTATTTTACAGTGTCCGCAATAACAATATCATTTTTTGTTATTACAGAATATCAGCGCATATCTAGTGGGTATGTATGTGGACAAATTTTTAAAAAGGTGGCTGTGAATGCAAGTATTTTGAAGAACATAGGGGAGAAATAGTGTCCACATGTTTAAAAAATTAGCATATGTTGGGGTGTGCTTGTGTGTGTGAAAGCAAGGATATGTGTGTGTGTGCTTGTGTGTGTGTTTGTCTGTGTGTGTGTGTGTGTGTGAGTGTGTGTGTATGTGTGCACGTGTCCCACACACACCCTGCTCTACTGTACTCAAAAGGGAGAGAAAGTGTGAGGGATCAAACAGGAGAATGCACAGAATGTGTCGTATATACACTGTCGATGTATATACTGAAAACTATGAGTTAACACACAATTAACACACACACACACAGTGGACACACAGAAGTTAACAAACTACTGCAGATGTGTGTTTTCTGAGCTGCCAAAATTTCAAAAGCAATGAAATTGGAGCGAGTAGTTTTCCTGTAGTCAATAACCAAAAGTGTTTTTTGCAACCAATCAAGTTGCTATCGATTCCCCAGGGAAATTCAGACTCTTCATAACTGGAACTTGTTGAGGGACCACAGATTTCAAAGCTCCAAGCCTGCCAAATGGAATCTGGGCTAATACCAAAGACGGAGGCACAAAAACGACCTGCATTCGTCCTCGACAGCGGGAGAGTTTTTCCTTTTTCAAACAGCTCAGGCACTCCTGCCAACACAGGACATGATAAAAAAAAAATGCTGAAAAACTTTGCTGCATGAAACATCCAAGGATTGTATCACATCGATATGAATTTGATTTCCAGCTTCGTGTTCTACTAATATGTCGCTAAGCTCTTCATTATACAGAGTACCTACACTGTAAAAAATCAAGTCAGATCAACCAAAAAAAATTACTTCATGTGGTAACAAGTAAATTAACTAGTTTTATTCAACCTAAATAAATACTTTGAGTGAACTATTCTTTCAATCAATGTAGTTTTTTGAGCTGAATAAAACTAGTTCAGTTGCTTAGTTCAGTTACAACATGAAGTAATTTTTTGAAGTTGATCTGACGAGCCATTTTTTACAGTGTATATGTTCGGTCAAAATAAACACTTCTATGCTTTTTAGATGCTTAAACTTGGTACTGGTCTGCAGAGCATGCGCTTTTAGTGTTGGCCATCCTCTAGCCCAGTGGTGCCCAGTCCTGGTCCTGGAGATCATCAACCAACCTGCTGCGTTTAGCTAATATAGCACCACACCTAGTATACCAGGTAATGAAGGCCTTCAGGGGCATATTAAAGCCAGGTGTGTTGGATATGAACTTTCCAGTATGATTGATCTGCAAGATTGGGTACACCTGCTCTAGCCTTCATAAATGGTCAGTTAAAGACCACAAATCACCTTTTGGCTGGATATTTTTAGATGGTGGACCACTCTCAACCTAGCAGTGATAATGGTGTGCTTTATACCAGCACCACACACACTACCATGAACATTACCATGTCAGTGTCACTGCTGTGCTGAGAATAGTCCACCACACCAAATAATTGGACAGGGAGTGTATATAAGTACTAAGGTATTCTAAGGTAACTTAAGAAAAGGGAATAACCTAAGTTAACGCAACCAAAGTGAGTGAAGAGTGCATGGTGTGTTGTGGCACTCTGTTAGAAACTGAAAGGAGAAGAGAGTCGAATGCATATAAAGGGAAAGAACCAGCAGGAGAACAGGCGGCTATGGAGCACTGTCTGAATGCTTTTGTGCTTCTGAATAGAGGAGAAGTCTAAGCCAGAGCAGCATGTTAGCTCTGTGTGTCTATGTGTGTGTGTGTTTAAAAATGCCTGCTGATTAGCTGGCATACAGCTAGGTTGGTGGTCAAGGAGGGCACTTATGCAAGTGTTGGTTTGGATTTTGTTTGTGTGTCTGTATATGTTAAAAAAAGCAATGAAACACGGTGGGAGAGAGAAAAAAGAAGACAGAGAAAGAGAAAGAGAAAGAAAGCAAGAGAAAATGGGTGGGAGTGCAAGAGGGAGAGAGAAAGAAGAAGACAGAGAAAGGGAAAAAGGAGGAAAGCAAAAGAAACAGGGTGGGAGTGCAGACAGTGGAAAAGAGAAAAGGGAGAAAGAAAGAGAAACAAGAAATTGAGGTTGGAAGTTGCAGAGAGACAGGGAAGAAGAGAGTAGCTAAAAAGAGAAAATGAGTGAGAGAAAGAGAGCAAGTAAATGTGAGAAAGAGAGCAAGTGAGTAAGAGAGTGCCTGTGAGAGGGAAGGAGTGACTGTGAGAGAGAGAGTGTTTGTCAGAGTGGGTCAATGGGAAAAAGTCTGGCTCTTAACTTAGCGCTCACTGTGTTAGTGTGCATTATTAAAGCTCCTTATGGCTTATAACACTCAGTGTGTGTTATTGAAGCTCCTTATGGCTTATAACACTCAGTGTCTGTTACTGAAGCTCCTTATGGCTTATTACACTCAGTGTGTGTTATTGAAGCTCCTTATGGCTTTTAGCTCCGCCTACAGCAGATGTCAGCTGCACACAGCACCTGCCAATCACGGCCCGTTGCCAGGCGACAGATGGAAGAGTCCAAAGATTTTCACAATTCATCTGAGAGAAAGCTGAAATTTCAGTGAGCTCGGAGACTCCTGCTGGTTTACACTTCATGAAGACAAGGAGATAAACACACACTCACTCTCACACACACACGCACAATCACACTTTTTTACTCATACCCTAGTGTGTATAACTAGTGTGTGCATGTGTGTGTCTAATATAAAATCACAGAATGTACTAAACAAAGCATCTGCAAATGAAAACTGGCAAAAATGTCTTAAATGTAGATAAGCAATTATAAATGTCTGTTAACTTATCTTTATTGCCATTTGCACTAAAGAGGAAGTCTACAAATTTTAATCAAATGCTTTAGTAAAATTCCTAAATGTGACAAGTAATTGCAGATGACTATGAATGAAATATATTTTATTAGGAGCTTTATTCTGCATGCTGCAACTTATTTTACATAAACAAATAAGTTAAAATAGGAAAGAGTCCAATATGTTTAATTAATACAATCAAATAAATAATATAATAAATAATAATTTTCCCTGTAACTCTGTTATCAAATGAAAAAAGGACACTGTTGGCTCTCTGTTGGACCAAGAAATGAAATGTAACTCTGTGCTAGGGAGCAGTGAAAGGAGAGGGGTAAGAACTCCCTGCTGTGAAAACAATTTATCCACACCTCTTCCTAAAGACGACCTTGCTGAGATAAACAGCATTTGAACATAATGCAACAATTTTGTAAATCATACACATTTCCATCTCATATTTATATTTATAAAATTTCTTCTTAAGTTATGTAATTCTTATATATCTCACATACATCCTTATTTTTTGAAGCTGAGCATTTGTACAGCTGAGCAGCAGGGAGAGACGCAACAAGAGCAAATGGCTTTTTTTAGAAATATTTTTAAAGATGGTTAAAATTAAAGCAGTTTGAGCACTTTGAACAGCAGAGTGAGTGTCAGACGTGGATAGCAGAAGTCTTCGTTATGGGATTCAAACTTTCATTATCAGCTATGGCTCCTTTCTTGGGATAAACTCCATTTAAAGTGGTTTCACAAGGGGCTGCTGTTTTAGAAAAACAGCAAAAAAAGCACAAACTGGATTTGACAGTTATGGTAATCTCACCAAATTAGAGGCAAATCTCTTTCATCCTGCACTGTGGCAGCTGGTGCTGCTGTCAGCTTACTGTGAACCTCAGTCTTGCTTGTGTGTGCGTGTGTGTGTGTATGAGTTTCGGAAACGCACTGTTGAACTTAGTCAGGAGCTTTGAGAACTCCTTAATGGTAAACAAAACCAGCAGCACACTCTTCGTATCCAGCACAGTCGCTAATTAAAGAGGAGAGACAGATTCTTTCCCTCCATTCAAGGGAGGAAAGCATTGCGGAGGTGAAAAAAAAAAAGAATCATCCTCCGCTATGAACGTGGTTTTTGGTTATTATCCCTCTTTTTCTTTCCTTCATCTGCAGCAGTGACAATGATAATTGAGCGGCTGCTCCGAATATTCACTGCGTAAAGCCCAGACGGCTCGATAAACAGACCACAATTAAAACCTGCCAAACCTCACACACACATACATACAGAAAGAAACAGCGTGGGAAAAAGAGAGAGTGAGAAAGAAAATGAGAGTGAGACACAGAGACAGAATGAAAAAAAGAGGCAGTGTGAAAGGGAGAGAGAATGTTGAAGGAGAAAAGGAAAAAGTAAAGCAAGCAAACTTTTTATGGCAACACAACAGAGAGGACTAAAGTCCCATAAGTCTAAAAGACATACGCACACGCACACACACACACACACTCTCGTCAGTCTGCTTGTATAACAGACAGATCAACACTGTCTGAATGTTGGTGACACATGCAACACTTTGTTCCTTCTCCATTCCCTGTCCTTCACTGGTGGGACTTCACACACATTCTGGAAAGCTTTGGCTGGACCAAAACACCACCAAGAGCTTTGGAGAAAGATAACAGTGCTAACAATGTTAGTAGCGCTAACAGCACATTCTCCACATAGGCGTGTCTGTGGCGATCGAGCGTCCTTTAAATATCCCTTGGACAGAGAATAACGCCACAGTGGAGTTTGTAAGAGGAGTGAATGTGTCAAAAGTAGGAAACTTTTGATTTCTTCTAGCGAAGCCAATAATTACAGAGGCTTTGTCCTTCGACTGTGGTTATTATTTACATGTATTCATTTGGCAGATACAAGTCTTACAATTCACATGGCAAATCTACACACACAGCTTAGATTTGATGAAAGTGCTACATGACTACAATGTATGTCCAAAAATATCCAGAAAGCCCTTCTAATGAGTGAACCTACTTCAAGGTGCACCCATTGCTGACGCTACCACTCAATTGCAAACACTCACAGCTTCGTAGTAAAGGATGTTACCAGAGAAGGCATGAACAAAATTCATCCTCGTTTTTGAATATTTAATTTTAAATTCTTCCATTCACACACACAAATATGTGCATACACATATACAACCGAGATTCTGCAGATAGGAGAGGCAGCAGGATCCTTGACTGCCACTACTGAAATCTACTCTGGGTTTACAAGTTCACACTAGAGGTTAAAATGATCCAGAACTGGAATGGTTTAGTAATGGGAGTTTAGTAGAAGGGTTAAAATGGGCTTTATTGGGTTAACATTGGGGCGGCTGGGTAAAGGGGCTAAGCTGAGGTCAACTTACCTGCCATCTGCTGGATACCACTGAATGCTCCCAGGTTACTGGAGGAGGTCGCCTGCTGTAGCAACTAGAAGAGAGAGAAAAGAGAAAAAGAGAAATAGAGATAGTGTGACGAGACAGAAGTAAGGCTAAAACAATATGTACGTATTTGCTTAAAGCAGGGCTCTCATACTCAAATTGTAGAGCTACAGCTCTGCACAGTTAAATGAACAGTTTTGTAAAACATCAAATTGACACAATTTTATACCCCAAGTGTAGCTGGTCCACTAACAAATTTGTATGCAGTTTACATGATGGTGGGGTATATGGTTACCTGTTAGCTTTATTATCATTCTAGCTCCATTGCAAAACTAAAAAACAAATTTCAGACATCAAACATGCCTCAGCTCATTGACTACATTTGGGGTAAGGGTAAACTTGGGTATATTTGATTTTTGTCAACCTATTCCTCTACTGTACAACATACCTGATTCAATGTGATAATTAACCCATCAGAGTTACATGTAAGATTAAGGAAAGCACATGCAGTACTGTGACCCTCCAGGATTTGAATTTGAGAGCCCTGGCTTAAAGTAATGTAGAGTGTGTAAGGAGAAGGTTTGAAGGAGTAATAAATGCAGATGAGACACTCTAATGTGCTCTAAAGTAAAATTTTTCATAGGAGCTCTAGGACAGTCTGTTAACAGCAGAGACACACAGCGTTGTTGTTATTCGGAGAACACTAATCAGAATCAATAATCAATGTAACTAAGTAACTGATTTCTGCTCAAGGTGCTAAAACTAGCCAAATTCTACATTCCTTGAAAAGCACAATTCTGAGGGTAAAAAGAATTGACAAACACACACTGAAAAACAAAGTTTCAAATTCACATGCATAGTTTTTATTTTTTTTTCCTGTAATGCTAAGTGGGTGGCGAATATGGCCATCACTTCCCATGGTTGTGTGTAGCTGCATATTACAGAGTGTAAAAAGTGCTGGGTAGGGCACAACAGAGTGGTCACTAGGGGACGCTAGAAAAGCAGAGTGGTCACTAAAGATGTTACCCTAAAGGTTTAAGATGACAGGTTTGCTAGCGTTAGCTCAGCCTTGGGCTAAGGGGAAGAAAGGAGAAAGGAGCAAAAGAGGTGGATGGGGATGCAGTGGTCCTGTCTCAGTGCTCTTGAATAGTGCCTTTTGCCCTGTCCCCTTGTATGATGACTGGTTGACAGGAAGAGCAAAAGGGAAATGTGCAGGCTAAGCTGTTTCGCTAAAGAGATTGACATGTGCGGGGCATGAGCTGGAAGAGGCGGTGCTAGAGGAGGGGCAGAGGTGGTAAAGAATAGGTTTTAAAGAGGCTAAGACATGACAATGAGATACTATGATGTGATCTGAAGTAAAAATCGTCAGAAGGGACACTATAGGACAGTCTATCAACAACAGGGACACACAGCGTTAACTACAAACTGTGAAGTTGCCCGAGATGTGCTATATCAAGGTTTAGCCAAGATGTGCTGTGTTAAGTTCACCCAAAGTATGTTTTTGAAAGATTTTCTTTTATTGTTACCCTTGAGGGTTGCCATAAAATAGCATCTAAGATAATTCAGAGGTGGCTGATCTCATAAAATTTGGGTGCAAATGAAATCATTTCTGCACACAATGCTAAAAACTAGTTAAATACTATATTACTTGAAAGTCACAACTCTGAGGGTAAAAATCGTCAAAAACACACTTCTGAGCACACTACACAGTGAAGACACACTGAGCAACACACAGCAAATTATTCTGAGTATGGGAACCAGTTGTTTACGCTAACGGAAATGCAGAAAGAGCGAAAGGGAAACGTGCGGGCTGAGCCGTTTCACTAAGAGATAGTGGAGTGGGCAGGCCCTAAGCCAGAAGAGACGGTGCAGGGTCGGGGTTTAGGATTTTGGGGGCGGAGACAGTGACTGACTGCGGCGGCGGCGTTGGCTGCACTGCTGGTTGCCGTGGTTGCGTGGGTGTGGCCTCTTACTGCCAGATACTGCGGGGTTAAGCCGGTCAGGCCGGTCAGGCTGCCCCAGGCGGAGGCGCTGTTGAGCTGCTGCATCTGCTGAGCCAACTGCTGCTGCAGCCTTCGCTGCTCTTTATCCTTCTGAGTGTCAGCAAACTTCACCACCATGGGGGAGGAACATCCCTACAGAGAGAGAGAATGAGGGAGAGAGAGAATATGACAAAAAATAAAGGGACAGTGAGGAAAACGGGGGGAGGGAGGGAGAGGGAGGAAGACAGAGGTGTGGACACAGAGAATGAAGAAGAGAGGGATAGCAAGAGGGACAGGGAGGAAGAAAGAATATGAGGGGCAGAGAAGATAATAGGGGAGAGAGGGAAAGAATTAGACAGGAGGGAAAGAAAGGTAGAGGGGCAGAGGGAGTGAGACAGGGAAGGGGGAGAATGGGAGAAGGACAGCGAGAAGAGGTGGAGAGAGTAGAGAGGGAAAGAAAAACAAAACAGTATGGAACAAGGAAAGGGAAAGAGAATAAGGGAGAGAGGGACAGTGAGTGGGTCAGAGAAGAGAGAAGAAGGAGAGAAACAAGGGACAAAAGATGAGTAGAGAGAAAGAGTGAAAGGTGGAGAGAAGGTGGGGGGTTAAGAAGAAGAGAGGGCCAGAACAGAGAGAACTAAGTATAATCAAGCATGTACCAAACGTCGTAACACAATTACATCTTTGGAAACACACACACACACACACACACACACACACACACACACACACAGAGGAGGGAGTGCTTGGTGAATAGAGAGTGTGTTGTGGGATTTGGGTTGAGATGGTGATATTATTTCCCCAGAAAGCGATTTCCTGCTTTATAAAGCTATTTCATCATGTGTTTGAGAGACACACACACTGCCTACACTGCACTCCAAAGACCCACTGAATCTCTGCTAATCTCTCTCTATTTCTGTCTCACTCTCCGTCTGTCTCTCTCTTTCCCTCTCAAACAATGTTTCTGTCTCTCTTGCACTCTTTCTCTCCACACTGTTTGTCTCTGTCTCTCAAACTCTCTTTCTTTGTGTCTCTCACTCTCTCACTCTCTCTCCCTCTCTCTCTCTCTCTCTCCCTTTCAAATTCTCTCTCTCTCTCAAACCTCAGAGGGCAGCCAATATAGGCTAAAGCCCTAAGGCTCTGCACAGAGAGCACATAATGAGTGCGTGTGTGTCTAGGCTTTGTGTGAATTCTGTATTAGAACATGCTCTCTCTCTCTCTCTCCTCTCTGCTCTTTTCACACACACACACACACACACACACACACACACACACACACACTCAGAAACGGAGTTGTGTGTTAAAGCAAGCAGACATGATTTGAGAACAGAGAAACAGGCCTGTGTAACAGAAACTACATGTATTAATATCAAAGCTCTTCCGCAGGCTATGCCAACTAACACACACACAGAGAGAGAGAGAGAGAGAGAGAGAGAGAGAGTGAAAGAGGAGAGGAAGAAGAAGAAGAAGATAAATATGAAATAAAATATGTGCTCATTTTTGGCCAAAACAAAATTCTCTCTCTGTTTTCAAATATAAAAATCTAGAAAGCTTGCTGTATTGTTTTGGGCTATCCCATTCATTCTCCCTCTTACAGAATCTTTCTGTCATCTCATGTCATCTCATCTCATCTACAGTCCTCCTTTCTCTCACTCTTTTTCTTTTCATCTCACTCACCCTTTTTTTTCTGTCCTTTCCTTTCCCCCATCTTTTTCATCTCTCTTACCTCTCCCTCTCTCCTACTTTCTATCTCTCTCACTGTCACTTTCTCTCTCTTCTTCATTTCTCCTTACCTCTTTCACACCCTCTTTCTTCTCTCTTTTGTTCTCTTTCCCTCCTCTCTCTCAATCTCTCCCTCTCGTTTTCTTCTCCATTTTTATTGTCTCGTATCTATCTCACCTCTCTCTCCCTTGCTCTGTCTGTTTTTTTTCTCTCTCACCTCTTTTGTTTTTCTGTCCTCTGACTTTCTTTCACTCTTTCCTCTCTGTCTCCATCTCTCCCTCAACTCTCCTTTCACTCCCCCTCTCACTGTCTTTCTCGCTCTTTTTGCTCTCCCTCCCTCCTCTCTCTCTGCCTCTCTCTCACACTATTACAAAAAACAGAATTGTGTCAGAATCACTGAATCAAATCAGGATAGACTGATTTGTTTCCTAAAGCATTGTAATTAAGCTTAACTGAATCAGCTTTAATCAAGTCAGATCAGCTGTTACCTACAGGTGTCTGTCCACCTCTCCCTTCGCTCTTTAGTCCCGAACAACAGGCTAATGAGAGAAGTGAACATGACTTCAGTGTGTGAGGGTAAGGTATGTGTGCATATGAGTGAGTGTTTAAGAGATTATCGGGTTGTGTGTGTGTGAACAGCCACACATTCTCAGAGCCAAAGTCACACTGCTTGTTCCATTTGGAAAAGTGATTTTCTTTTTTTTTTTCACTCTCAAATGGGGGATAGATAAAAATAAAAAAAAATGGGATTGTGCTGGAGGTGTCAGTCAAGTGATGCCATCTCAGGGCATGCATCTCAAGAGACCTAAAAAATCTCATTACTCTCTCTCTCTACGGCACACACACACACACACACACACACACACACACACACAGCTTGTTTCGCTCGCTCATTCTATTTTCTCTCCTGTTGCTTTTAAATTCTGACAAATGCATGAGATGTTTTAAAGACTATAATTCAAAATTAGGCTACATTGTTATTATTTAAGCCTAATGTGGAGCTTAACAATTCACACATACTCACGCAGCTTCAGCCAGATAGGACAGGGACTGTGTGTGCTTCTTGTGAATTAGAGTAGAAAATGTGGATGAGGATGGATTGTTGGTTTAATAGGACACACACACACACACATACACACACACACACACACACACACACACACACAACACAGAAACACACAATAGGATACACACACACACACACACACACACACACACGCACAATAATGACTGCATACATAAAGAAAAGAGATAAAAATGAGAGAGAAACAGAGGAGAATAAACAGAGAAGCATGTCTGGGGATACAACTAGTAAACTACTACTGTAAAATAGGCCTGAGAGAGTAAACTAAACCACACAACCTAGCCTGGGTGTAGGGTTGGGCAATATGACAGTAACATTATGTCAAAATTCGCTTTTCTGAGCATATTGTGTCGTCAGTGTTTAAAGAACACTAACCAGCTGCATGTTTCATTATAAAATGACTGTACATTGTCTTGTTTAATGGATTTAGTACATTGAAATCATTGTATTTTTAGTTTTTGGTAGTATATTTTAAATGTGCAACTACAAGTGCATTGTTTGTATCAAAGACATTGTTTGTATTATTATTGGTCTAGGTAAGGGTTTTGCTGCTGGGCTTGTGTGTGTTGTGTGTATGTGTACATATGTGTGTGTGTGTGTGTGTGTGTGTGTGTGTGTGTGTGTGTGTGTTAATGCTGCTGTGCTCCCAACCCTAAATTTAACCTCAGAACCCAAAAGATCAGCTTTGTCATCTTTTACAAATCAGTTTTTACCTGAAGTACAGATTAACGCTTAACAATATATGGATTCATTTCCTAAAGAACTGTGATTTTATTTAATTGTGATAGATAAATCTAATAGAATTAAATCAGTTGTGGATAGATACCTCAGGTAACTGATTCATTTCCTAAAGAATTGTGATTCAATCAAAAGGAATCCAATCAAATTTAATCAAGTCAATTGTATACAGGTACTTCAGGTTCTTCAATTTGATTGGTTCCATTATATACAATTACAATTCTTTAAGAAATGAATCATTTAATCATGAAATAATTTCCCCATGATTCAGTTCAATTCAATTAAAAGCAATTAAAAATGGAGAGCAGACTAATTTAAACACCCCCACAACCACATAATAGTCATATTTTCATGAGACCAGGGGGTTGGTCCCCATAAAGAGATAAATACATAGTCAAATACACAAATTGTCTGTTCTGACTGCTATAAATACTTGTAAGTTATTAATTTGGACAAGGAATTCAATATATTTATGAATTTTATCTGCTTTCTGTAATTACTCCTAATTGCCATGATGTTTTTTTCTAGCCTTGTCCTTGTCACTTTTGCGGAATTTGTAACAATCGCAGATATCCAGTTGGTTAATTGAGGGTTTTTAATGGTTACATTTTATTGTCTGAAGTCATAATGATGGGTTATTAAGGTTAATGGACATCAGGAATTCTGCAGCAGAGTGATGGACAACACACACATACATATCTCAGGGGGCAGCAAATATAGGTTAATGCCCTAAGGCTGTGCATGGAGAGCACATAATGTGTGTGAGTGTGTATGTGTGTGTATAGAGTGTATAGCAGTTCCATGTTAAAATACACTATATGTCCAAAAGTTTGTAAACACCTGCTCATCCAGTTTCTTCTTTCTTCAAGGGTATTAATAGAGACTTTGCCCCCTTCCCCATTACTGCAGTAACAGCCTCTGTTCTTCTGGTGAAGGCTGTACACTAAATGTTGGAATATTGCAGTGCGGATTTGATTGCATTCAGCCATAAGAGCATTAGTGAGGTCAGGTACTGATGTTGGATGATTAGTTCTGGATCACAAACACCTCTCTATCTCATCCCAAAGGTATTGAAAGGAGTTCCATCAACCCAGAGAATGCAGTCTTGCTGACACTTGTCATTAGGCATGTTGACCTTAGGCTCATGTGGGGCTGAAAGGAGTTGGTTTTACTAATTAGCCAGTAAAAAGGAGTGTAGATACTTTTGGACATGTGGTGTATTTTCTAGGGGTGTAACAATACATACATTTTCAGGTTTAATGTGATTTTAATGTGACCCTAAATATATGCAACACTTAAAATGTATAAGTGCTTTTTAAAAAATCCTAGTCATTTGAGTGTGATTACTACAAAAGATGGTAGATGGTACATAGTCAGAAGAGCATGAGGGGAATACTGGCGATACGGTTTTACATTTATTATTTCCATAGACTTATTATTTTTTGACACTGCACTGAAATCGCTACACCCTTAGCATGCTCAGGCTTTCTTTCTCTCTATCAAATGCACCCACACATAGGCCCTATATAAAAACGCCTGTCAGCACTCAGTGATGTGACATTTTGACAAGCAGTGAGATGGACAGCTAAACACTAAGGACCGAATGACAGCTTTCTGGACATAAGTGTGTTATTAAAGTGTCGCAAAGTTATTAAAGACTAAAGGCAGCCTTTAGCGTCATGCCATTAGTGTCAGAATTTGAAGCGGGCAGTGCCCTGGCCACCCCCTGGTCAGTCAGGAAGGACCCTTCCTGACTGACCAGGGGGTGGCCACGGCACTTCCCGCTTCAAATTCTGACACTAATGGCGAAGAGGAGGGTTATTAATACAAAGTTAAAAGTTTAAACGCTTTTTTCAGCTTCAGAAATATGAGGAGTGACTGTTGGAGAAGTTTCTTTCTCTCTCTACCTCTCTCTCTGTCTCTAAATATAAAGTTATAAAGTTCTGCCCTACTTTGGCCTTAGTTTGAAGTGACAGACTTTTGGCTGATAGATACTGGCTGTGATATTGGCCGAAGGAGAAAGGAGGCAGTGAGAGACGGAGAGGGAGATGATGGTGAGAGAGAGAGAGAAAGAGAGAAAGAGAGAGAGAGAACAAGAGAGAGATAGAGCAAGACATGGATAGTGGTAGAAAAAGAAAGCGAATGAGGGAGAAAGAGAGGTAGAGAGCGAGAGGGAGGGAGAAGGAGACAGCAAAGGCTAAAGATAGGAGAGAGGTAGACAGAAAGAGAAATATATGATAGAGCCTAGAGAGAGAGAGATTGAGAAAGCGAGTGAAGAAGAAAGAGAAATATGGAGAGCAAGAGAAATAGAAAGAGTGAAAGAGAAAAAAGAAAGCAAGAGAGAGAAAGGAAAGAGAGACTGAGAGAAGAGAGAAGCAGAAACAGAGGTAGAGGTAGAAAAGAGAGAGAGAAAAAGTGAGAGAGAGAGAGAGAGAGAGAGAGAGAGAGAGACGAGAGTACAGTACCTCCATGGTCTGAGACTGATGCATGGCTTTGATTGCATTCTGTGCCATTGCCCTGGTAGAAAACGTGACAAACGCACATCCTGCAGGAAGGGACGAAGAGGGGAGGGGGAGGGGGAGGGAGGGAACGAGGGAGGAGAGAGGAGGAGGAGGAGGAGGAGGAGGAGGAAGAGGAGAGACAAGAGAAAAACAAAACAAGACAAAAGGGTTGGACAGGTCGTTATAAAGCCAAAAAACAGAGATTGTACAGAGAAGAAGGCAGACAGCACTTTACTGCAAAAGTGGCTCAGAGTAAAACATTCAACATGCAACAACAATAAACATTCAACTTTCTTTTTAAACAGTGAACAGTGAACACTGAACAGTCAACAAACAGTCAGCAAATATATATGAACATCTCTCATTTCTCAATGGTTTATGAGTTTAGTTGGTGTTTTCAGATTGTGGTGGGAATAAGATCATGGGGTAAGAAGAGGATGCTAATAGCTCACACACTTATAGCGAACATGTATAGTGAGTTTGTATATATGAGCACACACAAATATACATATTTGCATACACGTCTGTATATGTACACACATACACATATTATACATATAGCCACATACACACTATAAAGACTTTTAAAAAGTAAGTAACCTGGCTATCATAAAAGTTCGACTGAACTTCAAACAATGAAAATCAGAATGTAACACACACGATTATTGTTCTGTTAACGTACTATTTAAGTTCAGTGAACTCAAAACTATAAGACAGCCAGTCTACCTACTTTTGTAAGTCACCATTTTTATAGTGCACTACTGTTCAAATGTTTGGAATCACTATTTTTAACAACATAAAACCAAGTTTATTGCAGATACAAGTATAAAATGATTCTAATACGATTACTTAATTAACTAATATGATGTTTTAAGTTTTAACTAATGAGTATGCTGCAAAATGATATGATATTCTTGGGATCATACACTGAAAAATGGTGCTTTGAATTAATAAATGATTAAAATGTGTTGAATGGTTGCACATGGATAAATGACATAAAGGTAGTAATTACCAAAACAAGTAAACATTAAGAAAACAATTGTGTTGACATAACATATTTTATTTTTGTGCAATCATTTGACACAAAATCATGAACCATTTTTTTTCAGTGTATGCACAACCCTTCTTTCTCTAAACATGATGAGCTGAATTATTGCCAGAGTTCTCTTTTTTGTTTTGTCTGACCAGTACCTTGTTCTAAAAGAGTTCCGACTTGTCTAAATGCTTGTGCACGTTTCAGACGCATATCTCTGTACTCCTTTTTTTAGCAGAGGAGTTTTGCATGGGTTGTAGGAATGGAGACGATTGCTGTGCAGAATATTTCTTATTGTTCTCTGTGTAATTGTAGTTTCTGCTGGTTTCAGGTCGTCCTGCAACTCTTTTCGACTGACTGCCAGCGTCTCTTTTGTTGTCCTTATTAATAGTCTGAGAGCGCTGAGTAGGGCACCTATCCAGGGACAATTAGTCCCATCAACTTTCCACATGCATGTTTTCAAACTAGTTGTCATGACAGAGATGAGTCTTTGCTGGGGATCTGTAGCCTTTTCCATTCAAGTGTTGCTTAATAATGTTGCCCCTGAGAATTTTAGGAAGCTCCTTCACCTGCACCATGATTGCTACTTCTTGTGTAAAATTGTTCTAAACAATATGAGCATCTTTTCTGTTGACAACAGTCGCAGTTTACACAAGAACTTTTTTGCTGTATTAATATTCAGAACTTAATTTATTTTATGTAAACTCTATATTTACATGTACTAAATAATAGTATTAAATAACAAAAACAAAAGTTTCCATTCTACATTGTATATGTAGTACCATCGAAGAATAGGGTAAAAGGGGGCTAACAAAGAAAGAAGAGAAACAGATGGACTACAGTCTATTGTAGAACTACAGAGTGCTCCTATATGGTAAGTGGAGCTGATAAAATGGACAATGAGTGTAGAAACAAGGAGGTGTACTTAATGAAGTGGCCAGTCGGTGTATGTATAGTACTTAGCAATGTGTTTGCAACACTAAAAACACTTTATAACACTGGAGTAAATACAAATAAACATAAATACACTACAAAGTATTTCATATCTTGATTGATTAGACAAACCATGTACTGGATGTTAACTACAAATAGTTCTGGGCTGCCATGAGTTTAGGTTTGGAAATGTTTAAATGAAAACACTGATAGACATAAGATTATTGTATTGAGGTTATTTGTATTTTTCCTAATGTTAGTGTTTTTCCTCAGCAAATAAATTCTACTGTCCCGATGAGTAGCTTTTTAAATCTCATTTGAACGTTTGAACAGTATAGTATATATGTGCATAACATGTGCATATGCACTCCCACATATGCGCATGTATGTATGTTAGAGATAGGAATCTTTAGGCATCTCACGATTCGATTCGATTACGATTCAGAGGGCTGCGATGCGATTATAAAACGATTATCGATGCATCTTTTTTTTTCTATACATGATTTCTATTTTCTTACTGTCTGAGGACTTGGTAGTTTTAAAGCTAAGTATTTGTAATGATCTTTAATGCATTTACATCCAATATCTTTTATTAATAAATCAAATGGAAGTGACGTGGCAAGAGAACTGGAAGGCTCTCATTCACTGCTCTTGTTTGGAGACGCTGCTGCCACTCAGCTGTGATAAAATGCGCTGTTTCGGTGAAATAAGATCCAATGGTCATGGATGACCACGCAGCACTTTATAGCCGTCCTACCCTTTTTCTTTAGTGATTTTATAACTTCGGCTTTGGTCTTGTGATAGAAGGGGGGTAGCGCGAAAGCCCTGTTTCGCAACGACTGAGAACTGGCGTGCAGACTGCAGGTCACATAGCAACGAGGTTTTGCCTGGCCAGTAGCGAACGAAAAAAAGGAAAAGAGAAAGACAGACGAACATTTGGAGATGAATGGACTTATTCGCATTCATAAGCAGCGTAGTTGGTTTCCTGGTACGTTAAATCTGCAACGAGAGACTGTCAAACACTAAAAAGTTGTGAAGATGAAGTCGCTTCTCTTTCTAATTTTCCCGTTCCACCTTAAATGGTGCCGCATTTACATTCGGCGCCTCAGTCAGAATTTAAGGTGGAACGGGAAAATTCGAACAAGAAGCTGGAGAATAAGAAGTGACTTCAGCCTTGTAAAGCAGTCGAACATTGAGAGACATTTTTACAATAAGCTGCTCTACTTCTGAGGAAAAGTTTTCTGGAGGAGATGGTAGAAAAGCGGCTGTAGCTAAAGCTTAAAGCAGCGCAGAGTAAGTCTGCCTCTTTGTTTATATTTTTTAGCCTATACTAGGACATTAACACATACTGGAGATAAAATGTGGCTCCCAAGGTGGTTTGATTTTTGTTGAAAGGACAAAATGGCTCTTCTAAGTTAATATTTGTGTTGTCGACTCCTGACCTGACCTGGCTTTTAATGCAGAGGGAGCCGGTCGGGTTTCTCACTCATCCAGTTGTGTTTTTGTCATGTGCTGTCACAGACTGTCCGGATGCTTCGCTTACCCACTTCCAAGTTCCGCCCTTTGCGTTCTGTCAACATTACGTTAGAAATTCAATATTTAGAAAATCGATTTTTGACATTTGTGAATCGATTCAGAATCGTTCACGTCTGCATCACGATACATCCAAGAATCGATTTTTTCCCACACCCCTAATGTATGTAGTGTTTGTATACGCTCTCACACACATATACACACAGGACTATGTGTACCGGAACACAAACTCACACACTTTCTCTCTCCCTCTCACACACACACCCTCCACCTTGCTGCACCCATTTGCTCTGTAAAATCCACTCTGTGCATCACACACACATTTGCATTTTTATGTGCCTGATAGAACCCCCGCCCCCTCCCCGAACACTCTAAAAAAACGACAACGGTGAAAAGCAATCTCCTGCCTTCCCGCTGTAATCATGACAAACGATCCCATGAGGCTGAGTGGCGCTGGAACCAAGCCTGCAGGGGCTGCTGGGAAATGGAGTCTTTAGTCTTTAAGCCGAAAAGCAGGTGGCAGGAAAAGGAACAGGCCATATGGAGGCATGCTGGGAAACTGGCACTGTCTGAGGAGTCTGCTCTACTGTACACACACACACACACACACACAAGTAAGAAGTCTAAGTCAGTGAGTAAGATATTTCAGCAATCTCAGAAAGAAAGAATGACAGAAAAACAAAAATCAAAAGAAAAAGTGCAAATTGCAAGGCAAAAGAAATGAAAGGAAATAAAGAAAGCAATAACAAAAAATGGACCGAAGTAAAAAAAAAGAAGTAAGGAAGGTAGGAATAACAGAGGGAAGAAAAAAGACAAATAGTAATTAAAGAGAAAGGATAAAAGAAAGAAAGAAAGCAAGCAAGAAAGAAAGAAACAGAAAGAAAGAAGATAGGAATAACAGAAGGAAGAAGAAGACAAATAGCAGTAAGTAATTAAAAAGGAGGGAGAAAAAAGAAAGAAAGAAAGAAAGAAGGAAAGAAAGAAAGAAAATACCAATAAAAGAAAGATGGAAGAAAGAGAGCAGTGGAAAAGAGAGCAATCAGTAAATAGCAATACAAAAAAGAAATACAGCAATAATGAAAAATGAATGAAAAGAGTAAAAAAAAATAAAAATAAAATGCAGATGTTGCTGCGAAGGATGTTTGTGCAAAAGAGAAAAATAAAGAAAGAAAGTATAAAAGAAAATTTGACAGAAAAACCTCTGTGTTCAGTAGGAGGCGCTGTCTGTCCACTTCATCTGCTCTCTAACCAACACTTTCCCTCTTCTCTCTCTCTCTGCCCTCTCTCCTCCTCTGCGACCCGTTTTTTTGTTTTCCTGAGAGAGTGCGGCCACTCCGTTGTGGACGAATGAAAGGGTGTTTATTTTAAGGTTGTTTAATTAGTGCCGTCATTAAAGTGGGTTTAGGCTCGAAAGGAGCGATCTGTGTGTTTTGGCAAAAGCTCAGAAGCCTCCAGAGACACAATCTCCAGGGAGTAAACACTGAAAAAAAAACTTTCCTTTTCTTTCTTCTCCAAACTTTCAGACTCCAAGTCCTCATTTTCCTGCTGTCCTGCTCCAAACTACACTCCAAATAAACCGGACATAAAGGTGGAAGGATGTGTAAGTGAGGAAAGTAAAAGGAAAGTTTTTTCTGTCCAAATTATCTTCTCTTTCTATTTGTAGTGGAGCAACAGACAGGAGGTGTAAATATATGATGGGCCACATGGTGTGATCAGAAAGGAGAGAGCAGGAGAGAGAGAGAGAGAGAGGGAGGCAATACAGATAGAGTAAGGGAGAAAGGAGAAAGAGAAAGAAAAAAGAGAGAGAGAGAGTTGGAAGTAAGTGGGGTAGATCCCTAGACATAGAACTCACATGTGGCATGATCTATATTTTATTAATAGTGAAACTCTATGGTGATTGATAGACCTCTAGTTGGAATTAGAGAGAGTGTGAGAGAGAGAGAGATTGAAGAGAGAAGAGAGGTAGAGAGAGAAAAGGTGAGCGAGACAGAAAGAACAGTAGAGAAGGAGGGATATAATACACATAGACAGCGAGAAAGAATAAGTGAGGATGGAAGAGAGACAGAAAGAGAGACATATTAAAAAGAGAGACAGAGAGAGAAGGAGATTGAAACTGAAAGAGAAAGAAAGACAGAAGAAGGAGAGAGACAGAGAGAAGGAGTGTAAGGCAGAAAGAAAGACAGAAGTGGATGGGTGGTTGGAGGAGGGGGGGGGGTCACAATCCAATGGTCAACCAGTGAGGTAAAGCATCAACTTATTATCAACTTATTAAGAAAAGAAAAGTTGATGATGATTAATAATCTGGTATAACTTCATTTTCTGTTGTTGTATGCAATAATGCCATAATAAAACATTTTGCTAATAAAGCACAGGGTAAAGAACAGGAGAGGGAAAAGAAAGAAAGTGCAAGAAACGAAGTGGGTGAGAACGTGAGAGAGAGAATGAGAGAGAGACAATGGGAATAGGAGCGAGCTTATACAGCTCAGCTCTTCAGGTTCCGAGGGACCACAGCGGTTGACCTGCTCCCCTCTACACACACGTTTACTCATCTATTTATTCAGTCCTTCCGTTTTCTTTCGTTTTGTGATAGGGTGGGGTTCGGCAAAGCGAATATCCACTCCGTCAGGGCGATTTCAAATATATCTCTCAGCATGAGCTCAGGGAATAAAGTTAATCTCATGTGGAATTAAAATATTCATGAGAACCAGAGAGAGAGGGAGTGGGAGTGAGGGAGAGAAAGAAAAAAGAGTGGGGGGTAGAGGGAGAGAAACACAAAAGAGAGGTGAAAAGAGAGAGGGAGAAAGAATGGGAGACAGAAAAGAGGGAGGGGAAGGAAGGAGAGAGGAAGAGGTGAAAGAGGAGGAGAGCAAAACGGAAAGAGAGAGAGAGGGAGAGAGTAAGAAGGAAAGAAAGCAAAGAGAGTGAATGAGAAAGATATAAAGGAGAGAAAGAGGGGAGTTAAACAGATGTACTGGAAAATGGATAACAGCTAGTAAGAACTGAGCATTCTGGGCTGTTTTATTTTCTATGTACTGGTAGCACCATATGCAGTACAACACACAGGGTCTGACCAATATATCGTTTGGCCAATAAAATCAGCTCCAATGGTTTACCACTGACAATTAACCCTTTAGTGGAATTTCCGTAGCTGGTCCCCAGAGAGTATGGTCCCACCGGTGGGATTCAAAAACAGGGTTAGCATGCTCAGTGTCGAATGCCTATGCAACAATCAGTTTTAGTTCAATCGATTCATCAAATCTTTCTACTGATCTGATTTTCTTCCCACAATATACAGTGTAATACCCCAAAACTTGGACACACTGGCAACATACATTTGTGATAATCAATGTGAGTTAAAACTGCCTGGCCTTTACCGGCCCCACACAGCAGACAGCACAACTGTGTGTTTCAGTTATTAATAGAATCGGAAGTTATGAAGTGTCACCACTTTAAAGATCCATTATCTTGATCTTGATTGCATGTAACCTGCTGATTCATCATAGTGTTCTACTGTTGACGTGAAGTTGATGCTGCATAATAATCAGGCTACTTATGAAAGGGTTATACATGGATAGCCATGGCACAATACCACTTTCTCTTTTCTGATGAAGATACCGATATTGAAGCCTAGAACGTCGGTTGATACTGATGCCGATCCAATATTTTTTTTTTTTAAAAACTACACAATTTTAAAGCTGTACTATGTAAGTTTTGGAAACTTTTCTGGTGGAGATGTATAATTGTGCACAACGTGTGGAAGAACATTTTGTAATGTGAGTTTGGCTTGTGCTTCGGACCCCTTACCCCTTCCCAGAGTAGATAAAAAGAGTATTCAAACAGATCTCAATTAAAACTTGGTAAAAGGCATGTCTTCCAAGTAGTCTTCATCAGTTTGTGTTTGAGACCTTAAGATCGAGCTGGACCTTGTTTTTGAGCCTGTGCATGTGACGTTAATATGTAAGGACATGTGACATGGCCCAAAAAACTCCTCTGAAATCTGAGGGGTCCGAAGCACCCCTGACTTTTCAGTTACTATTTCCGGCTTTACAGGACGACACACAGCAGCACACACACACTTTTTGTAGTATATTTTTACTACATGTTTAGTGTGTTTTGTTCTTATGAGTCGGTAATGGTATTCATTTAATGCTATTATTGTTTTTAATCAGATGATCTTCTAAAAGTAGGCCATGATGTTGAAACTATTCAAACACTCTACTACATATACACAGCCAACAACATTACATCGCACAGTGTGAGTGTGTGCACTGTTTCAAGCTAGATTTGTTAGATTTGGATCAGATTAATTCTCATTCGTTCTCTCCGACATCCCACCCAGCATTTTCTGCTGATATTGGCCTAATACTGATATCTACCGATACTGATGCATTCTCTAAATATGGATATCTTTTAAAAAATGTTATTTAAAAAAAATGTGTTCAAGAGCACAATTCCACTATGAATAACTTATTTGCTGTAATTCATGCAATGCCAGAAACATACTCAGTGCAAGTATGTGAATGCATATGACAACACCTGGCCAAGACAAGACGTCTTGCTGTACAAACTCACAGAGCGTTCTTACGTTACTGTGTCAGTTAAAACACTCAGTACTCAAGGGGGCGACAGAGGACGAATCAGAGTGTCTGTTAACAGGATCTGTTGTTCCAACAGTCACAACTGTGCTGCATTAGTTGTTCTGTTGGAATGAAAAGACAATGATGTATCATATGTTTATACGAGCAAGCCAGAATTGCGAGAGACTGCTAGTCTGCCATGACAGCTGACCAGGAGAAAGTAGGCTGGTGGTATAAAACAGCTTGGCCAGGCTCGACTGTTGTTTTAGCGCCCTTTGCTGCATTATGAAGTGCATCTTGAAACAGTTTTTAACGCAATGACGCACAAAGCAATTTGCGTCACTTGAAGCGTTTGTGTTTGCATACGTGCGTGAAGTATGTTTTAGGCCACACTGTCTGACTAAAAGTGTATGCCAAGATTATCCTTTATGGGACTTTTTATCACTTTAAAATTGGTATCAGTATTAGTGACAGAATTTCCATATCAACTAGGCTCTAACTCAGTGTCCAGAGTGTACAATAATGTGGTTAAATAAAAAATGAAAATAAATAAAATAATAATAATAAAAGTAATTCAAAAGTTTGGTTAAATTTATGTTTCATATACACTATCCTTCAAAAGTTTGGAATCACTTGTTAAATCAGGGTTTTTTTTTTATTATTTTACTGTTTATACAATAACAGCTTATAAATCCCCTAAACTACACAGCAAAATATATATATTTTTGTCAATGGTTTATTCAATATTTCAAGGATTCTGAGTTATTTTATACTGCAGTTTCAATACTGTAATAATCTATTTACAGTCATTATTTTGTCAAGTTATCTACCTCAACATTTCATTATCCCTTTACAAATATCAGACATACTGGATTTTAAATTTATTTATACTATATAATATTCACTATTTTATATATATATATATATATATATATATATATTTTATTCTCAGTGTTCTACAGCTTTTTGATCATTTCAGAATCATCCAACACATCTCACATTTCCTCATACATCTAACATCTTACAGCTTCATACTACTTCGGTGATACCTATGAAATTATATAGAACTAACACATTACAGGAATTTTACATATTTATCTGAAACCAAACTGGTTTTATATCATTGAAAAATTTGATTCCAAACTTCTGAATGGTAGCGTAATCCTAAAGACATTTTGATCTAAAGGCTTACGGTTAAACACTTGTGGTGCAAAACAAAGAGCTTCCTCTTCGTCTTATACCACAGATTCAGGCGGGCATTATTCTGTCTATGTTTTAGCTAGAGTAATGTGTCCTGATAAATATGGTGATGGTTTAGTTGATGGTAATTAAATGTTCAAGTACAGTCCAGAAAAAATACAACTTTGCCAAAGCTCAGATTGGCATGAATGCTGCTGTATTATGGTCATAGTATTAATTAACCAACGTCCACACCAACAGTCATCAGTCTGTGTGTGCGTGCGTGTGTGTTACCTCGGCTGAGTCCGTCCGGTCCTCTCAAGATGCGACACTCCTCAATCTGACCAAAAGCGGAAAACATAACCCGGATGTCGTTCTCATTACACTTCTTCGACACCATCCCAATAAACAACTTCCTGTCCTCCACCGCTGAGAGAGAGAGACAGAGAGGGACAGAGATAGAAAGAGAGAGAGGCATAAAAGAAAGAGAAGAAAGATATAGCGATCAAGAGTAAGAGGGACAAAGAGGAGAAAAAGCGAGGGAAAGAGAGAGACAGACAGAGAGGGAGAGAGAGGGAGGAGAGAAGAAAAGAGTGATGCACAAGTGGGGAAAGAAAAAAAAACCTTGAGCATCGCTGATCAATGTTACATTACCACATCAACACAGTCCTCTCTTTCTACAACTCTCTCACTCTCTTCCACCCTTTCACTCTCTCTCTTTCTGTTTTTAATTTTGCTCTCAGTCTCTGTTGGATCACCCTCAGTGGTCACTCTCAGCCTTTAGCCTTTGATCTATCTGTGTTCATGTCTCAGCATGTGTGTGGATGTACAGCAGACAGGAGGTGTCAGAGAGAAGATGGGAACAATAACACTAGAACAGAGAAAAGTAGCACAAAAAATGACACACACACACACACACACACACACACACACACGGCAGCATAATACAGCAGCATAATACAGCTCATCTGGGGACACCTAGCTTTTCAAACCCTTTTTAATACAAGTGATCATGCTTTCTCTGTCGCGTTTTCAGTAACTTGTCATATTAAAGCCTAAGCAGGTTTATTTAAAGGAAAACAATGTCACACCTGTAAATATTAGTCAGGAATAAAGCAAAAGGCCACACATTTTATCCCCTTGTTGTGATGTCAGCACTCATTAGCATTCAAACCTTCCAGGTGTTTAAACCACTTTTGGACCGAAAGAGTTTCACTGTGTCCTTTTAGCAACAGTTTGGAAAAAGAAAACGGTCAGATTATTATTTAAGCAAAACCTGCTCTCCATATAAGGAAGATACATTGATTAAATATTGAAGAGAAATAAACTCAAAGCATTAGTACATGACTGTTTTATGCTAACAAAACCATTTCAGATGTATTTTCTTACTTAAAAATTAAATAAAAAAAAAAAGGCAACTTTTGAGGAGCTGTGTATGTTACAAATTGAGAGTCAGGTGGATGGGTAGATAGATGAATGGCTAAATAAACAGATGTTTAGGTAGATATATAGATAGGTAGATAGACAGAGACATTCAGTAAGGTAAATATGATTGTAGTATATGTTATAGATAGATAGATAGATAGATAGATAGACAGACATACAGAAAGATGGATAGACAGACAAACAAACAGGCAAACATTAAGACAAATATGAAGAAAGCTGCATAGATAGACAGAGAGATAGATGGGCAAACATAAAGAAAGCTGGACAGACAGAAAGCTAGATAAATGCTAGATAGATACAAATATAGATAGGTAGACAGACAGACAGATAGATAGATAGATAGATAGATAGATACATAGATAGATAGATAGATAGATAGACAAACAGACATGATAGAGACAGCATTAGAGATAGCATTAGAGAGAGAGGAAGGCTGTGTGTGAGAGAGCAAGTGTGATTGGTGTTTAATGAGGAAAGTGTGTCTCTCAGTGGCGCTGCAGATAAACACACTGCTGCACTCTGGGAAATCAATAGCTCACTTGTTTATTTTGCTGTTTGAATTGTTTGTGCATTTAACAGCAATGGGATGAGCTCGAGATAAGAGCTGTTTCAAAGCTTTTCCTGTTCACACACACACACACACCACACCACACACACCACACCACACACACCACACACACACACACACATCACCACTCTAGAAGAAGATTAGCTGCTCTCGGCAGTATAATTAATTTACTCGCAGAAAATATGAGACACATCAGACTTGAGGTAAACAGCACACAAATTCGGAGGTTGGTGGGTGATAGGGTGGAGTAATCTTGTGTTAAAGTTCAAAGCTAATCATTATGGGAGGTGTTAAAACAGGAGAATAACAACAAGTTCTGTCACACACTTTATTACACATTACAACACACACACATACTCAATCACTCTCAGGAGACAGAAATAGAGATAAGATGTGAGATGTGAAAGAGATATAAAATGTGAGAGTGATATTAAGGAGAGAGATAGAGAGAAAGAATGGAAAAGAGAGAGAGAGATGACAGATGGAGTTAAATGAAAGTAAAAGACAGAGAAAAAGAACGTGACAGAAAGAAATGGAGAGAAAGCGATAGAAAGAAACAAAAGTAAGAGCGAGAGAGAAAATTCCTGCCTTGCACATTTTTTTGTCTTATTTTCTATTTACATATCTGTACAGAAATATAGACAGACGGACACAAACAGGAAGAGACATGTATGCACACACAAAGGAAATAGACACTACCAACCCCTAACACACACACACACCAAACACTCACCATTTGATTTCTCACTGTCTGCAGGCTTCATCTGAATGGGATGGTGCATCTGTAAGACAGGACACACACATACGGGTTACACATACACAAACTACACACGACCACAATACATTACAATACTCAGTACAGAAACACACACACACATACACACATACACACACACACACACACACACACACGATTTACAGTACTGTGCAAAAGCCAGAGATCACCCTTCATTTATTTCCTTTCAAAACAGCCATTAAGTACAAATTATTCAGACCTCAACATCACTGGATGTGTTTGGTATCACTTGGTTTGTGACAAGCAGAAAATGAAACTTCTAAGACTGAACTTTGGAGGTGTGGAAAAGTATCCCTTCATCCCATTTGAAAAACTGAAAGCAGGTCAGCTGAAAAGAATGGAAGCTGTGATAAAGGCAAACAATACAGGATTTTTGTAAATATTATATTTAGCTGTTGAGGATTTTGAATAATGTTGTGTTAAATTGATGTTTTCTGCTTTTTTCCTGATGCTGAAAAATGAATAACTTGCATTTAAAGGCCATTTAACTGTAAATTAAATAAATGAAGGGCGGTCTCTGACCTTTGCAGTACTGCACAAATATTGACGCATTTATTAGTTTACTTAACAAAGGGACATTTAAAGAGACAGTCTGGCCAAAATGAAAAATGTAACCATCACTACATGTGTGTGAACATGTTTAGTTGCCACCTACAGTGGAGCTGCTGTAGTGCTGAGTGAGATCATTCACCCTCCTGATGTATCTTGAAGGTGGGAGGAACCTTTTGAAAGCTGAAACTGTTTAAGGTGGATTTTGGCAACTGTTGTGACAACTAAATGCTAGCTTGGTTGCATTCATTATTCATTGGCCTCTGGATCAGTAGCTAGGCTAACAGCCAGGATTGGTTGACACCACAGTAATTCTCTACAGTTGTGACATATTTGTAATGCATACTGGGTATTGTAGTGAGAGAGCACTGATAAAGGAAAACATGAAACCTGTAACCGAATCCTATCTGTCAGACTGGTGATGTTGAGGGATGCAGTGCTGCATTACTATCTACTTCATAACACAACACAACATATTTAACTCTAGGTTTACACTGGAAGACCCCTTTAAATCTCAGCATAAACCTTGATTTAAGACATAACAGTTTATCTTACAAACACAAACACAGACACACACAAGACTTTTGTCATTCTTTTTTCACGTCAACAATCCTCCTGTGTTCGTAGACCTTTGATGCAGAGAAATCAGTAAGGTAGGTGTGTGTGTGTGTGTGTGTGTGTGTGTGTGTGTGTGTGTGTGTGTGTGTGTCTATGTGTGTCTGGCAGACAGAAGCTTCTGTCTTTTGCATGATGAAATTGGCTGGTAAGCACTTCAGCGATTCAGAGAACACTTTTCCTTTCCTTCCTTCCTTAATTTCTTCCTTCCTTCCTTTCTTTCTTTCTTTCTTGTGCTCTTCTGCTGTTCTCTCTTTCTTTTTCTCTTTTATGTATGTATGATATATATATATATATATATATATATATATATATATATATATATAATATATATATATATATATATATATATATATATGAGATGCCCATTCATACAGTGAGGTGAAGGAGTAAATAGAACTGTTTCTCTTTTTTGGCATATATGGACGTATCAGTATTTGATCTTTAGTTAAACAGTATGTGTATAAAAACTTTATGTAACAGAAAAAAAACAGTGCAAATTTGACTTTGCAATCATTTGAGCTGCATAGGGTCAGTTTTTGAAGAAATTTTGTACGGCTCGGACTCAAAACTTGTTGTGTCAGGTCAAGCTTGGACAGAATGTTCTCAGGCTGTATTCAGATTCAGACCAAAATTTTAGTCCCAATTAAAGCTCTAGTGTGGGTGAGTGTATGTTTGGCTGTGCCTGAATGTTAATCAGACCTGCTAAGCTCCTTTAGATGCTTTAGATTTATCACCTGCTCACATTTCACATTTACACCCACCGAATGTGCACACACACATACACACACACACACACACACACACACACACACACACACACACACAGGGTAATGGCTAGGTGGCAGTATTTTAAGTCTACAGATGGATCGGGTTAAAAAGTGTGTCAGCAATAAACGAAGCTTCACCATCACGTGTAGCTCAACTCTGACCTCTACACACACACACACACACACACACACAGTCAGACTGCAGTCTGAGGGATTTTGGTTTGAAGAGTCTTTGATGTGTTCTAAGCTCTTTACTAAGAAACTTTACAGAACACCCTGCAAAAATCTCTCTCTCTCTCTCTCTCTCTGTCTCTCTCTCTCTTCTCTCTCTTTCATTTCAGTCTGTCTTGCTATAGGCCCCTCACGATTTCTTTCTTTTCTATCTCCTTCACTCTCTCGCTTTCTTTTTTCAGCATCATGCTCTCTCTCTCTCTCTCTTCCTCTGTATCATTGACTTTTTTCTCCCTGATCTCCCTCTGTCTCTGTGTTTTAGTCTCCCTCTCCTTCTCTCTTTTCGATGTCTTTCTCCTCTGTCACTCTGTCTCTTTCTCTTCCTTCTCCCTCTCTCTTTCAGTATTTCAGAATCTCACTTTCTCTTCTCCCTCTCTCTCTCTCTCTCACTCACTCACACACACACGCACACACACACACAATCCTACTGTCAACTGGAATAAGTAAGAATTTTAAAGGTTAAAGTTTTCATGAAATGTGCACATGCATGTAGGACTGGATGTGTTTGTGGTGTTCAGAATTCAGGCCTGAGCTAATGCCACCCACCTACACACACACACACACACACACACACACCACATGAGGCTGAATCTGAATGAACCATAACAAATCATCATCCTCATCATCATTGCTCAGCAGAGACGCTCAACCCAGCTGCATCATCCAAGGCAGTGTGTGTGTGTGTGTGTGTGTGTGTGTGTGCATGCGCACTCACTGGCAACATTAACAGAGCTCATTATGGCTGCAATCATTTCAGCTGTAGCTGCTTTAGTCTATTTAACCCTACTAGGTCTATACACCTTGAAACATCTCTTCTTACATTTTGTTTAATTATTTCTGACCTGTAGCTCACTGAAACAAGTAGAGACATTCTGTGCAAAGTGCATATTCTGAAGTTTCAATTCATACCACATTTGTGTTTGTAAGAAGAATAGGATGATATTTCATCATGATTTAAATTTGATGGAAAGTTATCGTTGGGTGTATCATCTTGAAAAACCATCTTCTGGCCATTTAGAAAAAGGAAAAAACATCAGAAGTGCTGTCTCAAACCAGCTGATACATAATATAAACTGAATTTTAATGTAATTAATTATTTAACTATGTAATTATTATTAAATAATTATGTAACACTTAATGTGTGGCAAAAGAAATGCAGTAACACTATACCTCTAAAGGTTAAACATTTAATAAACGGTTCCCTCATTCCACGTAAAATACATGTAGTCCAGCACGTGCAGTATATCTACTTTTCTTTGGAAGCATTCTTTGTCTTCATATGTTAAAAAAAGATCATTTATTTTTATGTAGAACTGAATAACAAAGTGCACTTATTACTGTCACAGTGTCAGTAATTATATACCGTATTATACCCTGAAGCAGATTATAGCATTAGAGACATATATCTCTTCTCTTCTTTGTATTGCAGTATTATTCTGCAGAGAAAAATGTGTCAACACTTAAAATACAGTCATATTGACTAACGTATATCACAATCAGTGGCTTCAGATAAACTGATTTAAACCTGTCCTCAGTGTGTTGAAAAGCACATAAACATAAACTTACATTGGCTCTTTCATTGACTAACTGATCAGAACTGATTTATGCTCATTTGGCGCACCAACTTTAACAGACTAATTTTACTATTTTAATGCATGTTTTACAGTTGAAGTGATGAATTGACAAATAAAATTAAGCAATAAACCAAACTGGCACAATTTTCCCAAATGTAGACAAATATAGACAAGTTTGCTTTTTTACTTTTGCACTGAGGCTAATGTAGCTATCAAAATTAGCATCATGCAAACTAATCAGGCCTAATTCAGAATACACTTGCCTCAAACCATTTTGAGTTCTTATGTAATCTCAAATAGTCTTATTTATGACATATGATTTATATGACATACTGTTTTCTATAAACATTTACAAAACTATAATATATGCGTGATGATTTGGGGGTTGGTGGGGGTTCACATTGTAACATGTGGTTTTGCCAAGGTGCCTTTTTCCTGTTCTTTTTAATCGGCAGGACACCCTGCTTTGTGCAGTACAGTGCGCTGAGTTGAAAAAAGTTCTTGAAGCTTGAAGCATTTTGGCATTGACCAATCAGATTTTTTTAGTTTGTTTTTGCTAACGGCCCCATACTTGCTAGTTAACTGTAAACCACGTTCTGTAAGTGCAAGAGCCAAAGCTTTCTGCTTGTCCATACTGAAACAATAGCCAGCTAGCATGGCTGATTGACAGTACAATGCTATTACTGCTTAGCAACAGGGAGACAGGCACCCCCAAAACTGGATGGTGCTGTATGCCTTATGTTTTTCAGTGTGATCCCTTCCTTAATCATGCACAATGCTAATTGGTCAGCTATAAGCTTCTATTACTTGTTAGATCAGGAACAGTATCATTCAGGTGATGCTTTTATTCAGAAATACATCGCCCTTTAAGGTTTAGCCAAGGTGTTTATAGTAGAAACCTCCCCCAAATTTAGAACACTTCTCACTACAGTCTGTATTGTATCTGCAAAATATCTGTACACAGCAAAACACTTCAGAACATTCAACAGTTTGAGAGAGGAAAATTAGAACTACCCAAAACTTCCACAAAAGGTTCAAAGGAATCAATGTTTTTAGCCTTCAAGCATGTTTATATACAAAACAAACACATGCACACACGCACGCAGGCACAAAAAGCATACATTCACCACCACAAATGCTTTATCACAAAATCAAGTGTTTTCTTTCTCCTTGTGCAGAGTAGGAAAGGGAAATAGAGAGGGAGCGTCAACGAAAAGAGAGAAAAGGAGCGATAGAAAAAAGACTAGCAGCTGGAGGGCACTCTTAAGGACGTGTCCTAGATTAGCTCTCGTTCGTCCTTAGCTAAGAGTCAAGAACAAGAGAGGACACGCGCGCACACGGCCCTCAGAGCGTACACTGATTAGCGGAGAGAGACCGAGGGAATTGATGCTGATCTTTTCTATCTTTTCTTCATGTTTCAGATGCTAATGAAAACCTCTTCATTCACACAGTTAGACAACCTGCACTGCAGGATTAGCTGATTACTCTGAGTTTCAGTGAGAGGTTTTGGGTTCTTGGTAGATTGGTGTGTGTTGGTGTGTGTGTGTGTGTGTGTGTGTGTGTGTGCCTGTTAGGACTGCACAGTACGGATTAGACACTAGTGTTGTGATTATATTGCTACATGTTGCAAATGAGAGCACCTTGCTTCAACCAGCAGGGTTTCTACAACAATCTTGTCTAGATTAAGTCCAATAAATTTGGTATTCATGTAGGATTTCGCATCACAGATCTTAGTGTTCTCTTATGTTTGTGTGTGAGAATACTAGCGTCTTGCTATCGTTTGCATGAAATACATTAATAAATGAACCATATGTTTTGTTTTCCATCACTGGGGTCTGTTAGCATGGTAACTCGGTTAACCAGCACTGAGACTGGCCTATAGCACACTGTAAAAAGCCACTGTGATCGGTTAGTGTCAAACTGTAGTTCGTGGATGGGGAACGGAAGTATCATTCATTGCTGTTTAAGCTAAGTCAGAGAATGTGTGAGTACTCGTTAAGTCTGTACCCATTAAACATTGCTATGGAAAGCCTTTAAGGTTTTATGCCTTTACCTGAAACAACATTAAAAAGTTAAAATAAAGTGATTTTATTACTGTAAGTAATTTGTGTTGGCTATAAATATGAATCCTCTGATTAAAGCATTTCTCACATGCAGGTTCAGGTTTCTCTTGACAGATTGATTACAAACATTGGCAGAAAAGCATTCAAGCATTCCAACAATGAAGATTACTTACATTTTTATTTATCGATATAGTTCTATCATGTTAGGATGTCCTTAGAATTTAACATATTGACTGTTTACACTTCGCTAGAAGTCCTGTCCAAAAGCATCATGCAGCGCAGGAATGAGGTGGATATGAAATTATTTACTTTAATCACAATTTTTTCTTCCTTTAGAAAGTGTTCTACATTTCTGTTCTCTGTAATAGTACACTATATAGCTCTCCAATGTAGGGAATAGTGATTAGGGAACCATTACTGTTCTGCATAGTTCTACATAGCACTACAATGTAGGGAACAGTGGTTAGGGAACCATTATTGTTCTACATAAAAGCACTACAGTGTAAGTAATAGTGATTAGGGAACCATTACTGTTCCCTATAAAAGTGTACTATATAGCTCTCCACTTTAGGGAATAGTGATTAGGGGACCATTGGTGTTGTCTATAACAGTGTACTATATAGCACTAGAATCTAGGGAATAGTGATTAGGGAACTATTACTGTTCTAAGTAGCACTACTGTGTAAGGAATAGTGATTAAGGGTCCATTTCCAACACAGTGTCACAGAGACATTCTTGACTTTCCATTTATGTTAAGGTTGCATAGCCATGTAGATTCTATTCAGGACCACGTTTGGAAGTGACTCAAATTTGATATGAAAAGGTCAGGTTTTTGTGTTCACAGTGCCCTGAAAAAAATCAGATCTGTGGCACATTTAGGCAAAAATATTGAAGCTGTGCTCTTTCAGCTTTGTAATGTGAACACAGCCTTAAACTAACCAGCTTTCTTTATCTGAAGCGCATTTCCAAAACCACACAAATTAGGCACTGAGCTTTTTGATGAAACCTGATTTATCTAATTTGCCATCATCATTCAGTCAATCACATTTAGTCACCAACAGTCAAACACACAAACAAACAAATAAATGATAACAAGTAAACAAGCACTCACCCCAGTTAAGGTCTTTATATTGTGCAGTGCATTCTGGGCCTCTAGGGCGGCTTTCCGCGTGTAAAACGTGACAAAACAGCACCCTGGAGGAGAGACAAGGGGAGAGAGAGATTGAGAGAGAGAGACAAAGAGAGAGAGAGGGAGGGAGAGAGAGAGAGAAAGAGAGCATTTTAAATGAGCAGAAAACACAACTGGATTTGATCTTTTCTTCTCTTTTGGTTGCCTACTGAGAGGGAATTGTCTCAGTGCCAAACAACACAGAAGGAGAAAGATGGAAGAGAGAGTGAGAGGGAGAGAGAATAAAAAGAGAAAATAGTGAGGGAAAGAGATGAAAACAAGAGAGAGAAAACAGAGATGAGAAAGAGAGAGAGAGAGAGAGAGAGAACAAGGGTAGAGTGAAAGAAAGACAAAAGCACAGAGAGGAGAGAGAGAACAAGGGTAAATAGAAAGAAAGAAAAGCAGAGAGAGAGAGAGAGACAGAGAGAGAGGTGATCGGAACAGAACTTCATGTTTGTCCTGGTTTTTCTTCTGTATGGTGTGTGGAAACTGGGCTCTGTGTGTGTATGTGTGTGTGTGTGTGTGTGTGTGTGTGTGTGTTTGTGCGTGCGTGCGTGCGTGTGTGTGTGCGTGCGTGTGTGTGTGTGTGCGTGTGAAAACCCTTTACACGCCTCTCTGAAGCACTAAACTGCACTACCACACAGAAAGTGACCAGAATACAGAGTTACTCTATGTGTCTGAGAGGATCTAGTCAGTTAATTCACCTTCTAATCAGTGAATTCAGCTACTTTAATGCCCCCTCTGCTGACACAGGTGATCAATTACACACACAAAGGCTGTATAATCTCCATAGAAAACACTGTCAATAGAATGAGACGTTCTTGGGATCACCGGACCCAGTGCCAAGCATCAGCTAGAGGAGTATAAAGCCGCCCAGCAACGGGCCATAGAGCAGTTGAACTGCGTTCGCTGGAGTGATGGAGCTTCATCCAATAATTTGGGATGAGTTGGGATGGCAGAACTAAACTAAATCCCTGTGGTTAAAAAAAAAAAAGATGAAGATTCCAAATACTGATTAGAGAACCAAATACAGCGAATGAATGCTCAAATTATTATTCAAATGATCCTCAACTTTATTAAATATGTATATAAATATCTTTATAAAGATCTTTACAGTGTTTTCTGGAAGAGGTAGCCTGTATGTGTTTGCGTGCATCTATTCTGTGTTCCTGACCTCTATTCGCGTTTTTCGATGTTAAGCACCACAAAATTCCCTTCATAACCTCGTCCAGGGAAATATACAGCAGTGGATGTGATTTTCATACCTCTACCTAACAGTGTGTGTGTGGTTTATGTGTGCGTAAGCTCGAGTGTGTGTCTGTGAGTATAAGTGTGTATGTGTGGGGAGGGGGGTGTTCACGTTTGAATGTAAGCATGTGCATGTGTGTGATGTCTCAAGCGGATTGCTGTCAAAGCCAAGATCAAAGCTAGGAAAATGTGAACGCTCCAAAGGTGTATGGCAGTGTGAATGTGACACGTGTGCGTGCGTGTGTGTGTGTGTGCGTGTGTGTGTGTGTGTGTGTGTGTGTGTGTGTGTTTGTGTGTGTGTGCGTGTGTGTGTGTGTGTGTGTGTGTGTGTGTGTGTGTGTGTGTGTGTGCATGATCCAAACTGTATCTGTTAAGAAGATGATTAGAATATTATGAAAAGGTATTGCTGCATTTTTTTTTTACATCAAAACAAACAAAAATAGTCAGGAGGGCAGACACAAACTTGTCCATACAGAATGCAGTTCTAATGTAACACTGTGGCCTAACAGTATCGTATTGCCTCTCAAAGCCTTCAGGATGTCTACACTTGAAACGTCAAATCTGCATGTCAAGTCAAGACGTAAACAAACAAAATTAGGACTTTTATCTACATATTTTACATTTAAATGCGATATCAGTATCTGCAAATAACAAAAACATTGGTATTGGTAACTTGCATTTGCAGTGTCCCTATAAAACTATCATTTTAGTTAATATCCCTTAAAACTCTCTTTTCTCCACGTTTTTGACTAGTGGAAATGACTTAATGAAAGGTGTCTGCCTTAACAGCAGTGCTTTTGTTGAGGTGGAACATCAGCACGATGCATCAAACATAGGAACAGGGTTTCCATCTAAAACAGCGCATGGCAGCGAACCGAATCACTCCTTGGCGCTTGCTGCTGGTATAGACAGTGTCGTGATTATAATGAGAGTGTGGGTTTTCTTGTTGTCACTCACGTGCAGTAAGGTGTTAATGTTATTCATTAAATAATCTATTTAAGTAGATTTGTGACTATGTAAGTAAATATGCATAGTTATGTAATGTGAACTGAATGTATAGCAAAATGACAGACAACTTTAGACTTGTAAGGATTAAAACTAGCTCTGTTTATTTCTGCTGCTGAGACAAAGAGGCTAATGAACATCAACTCATAGTCAAGCTTAGGACTGGTCATACTATTTATTTGTTTATTTATTCATTCATTCAGTTATTCGGTCTGGATATTATCACTGATATCTAGCCGAAATGGAATGAGAATAAAACAGATACACACCCTCCCACTTACACTCCCCTGCACACACCACACAGCCAAATGATTACAGAGAGAGAGAGAGAGAGAGAGAGAGAGAGAGACTTTTGGCAGAACTATACATGGACTCATTCGTGCCTGGCAATAGCACAGCACTTCCAGTCGCCAAAACGGCCTATTTCCCAGCATTTACACACACACACACACAAGCACACGCACACACACACACACACACACACAAGCACACACATACACCAGTAACCAGTAAACCAACTCTCAGGCTGACTTGCTCTTAAAACCAAAATAACTCAATCATGATTCGGAAAGCAACACTGCAGTCACAGCACACACACACATACATGCTGCGCACACACACGCATACATGCTGCACACACACACGCATACATGCTGCACACACACACGCATACATGCTGCACACACATGGTTCAACCTGCAACTAGTGAGTAATTGGCTTTGGGTACAGAGCTAACAAAGCTAATGGCTGCTCTAATCGCCTGTGACGCTTCAGCAGAAACTAAATAAATCATAATTCAATCTCACACAGCAAACTGTACTAACCACACACACACGTGCGAGGACGGTGACTGAAACAGCTATATCAATCTACATTGATTCCCCAGAAAGAGCTTTCACACACACACACACACACACACACACACACACACACACACACACTGAACCTGATTAGCCACTTTTTGAGTTCAGTTCAGTTTGATCTATAGTCTATTATGAATGATGGTGGATTATTTTAGTTTTATAATTGAAGAGTCAAAATGATCAACTTTGTTAGTTTCTCTTAATTCCATATTCTAAATTCTGAATTACAAATTTTACATTCTCAATTTTTAAATTCTAAATTCTGAATTACAAATTCTAAATTTTAGGTTCTAAATTTCAAATTTTATGTTCTAAATTACAAATTCTAAATTTCAAATTTTAAACTCTGTTCTTCTCTAACAAAGATGCATGTGTGTGTGTGTGTCAACAATCATTATAACACTAACACACACACACACACAGAGTCACATACACATATATTAGAATACATTTCAATAAATTAGCATAATAGGCCTGCACCCGACCTCTGAAGACACAACAAACACACACACACACACACACACACACACACACACACACACACACACACCTGTATCATTCAGCCTCAGTACTGTGTGGCTGAAAAGGACATGTTCACACTACCCCATTCATTCTCCTTGCGTGCACGTGCATGTGGGTGTGAGCATGTGTGTGTGTGAGTGTGTGTGTGTGTGTGTGTGTGTGTGTGTATTAAGGACTTCAAAGGAATACATCTTTAGTAAAGAGGCACACACAGCTGCTGAGCTCCATTCAACCCGGACCTTTCTCACATCACTCAGTCAACAAGGGCCAACCTGTTTCTCTCTCTCCCTGTGAGTGTGTGTGTGTGTGTGCGAGGGTGCTCTTTTTAAATTGCAGTCCAGCTCTGATAAACAATTCTCGCTTCTCTCCTTTGGGTACATTTATATTCTGTGTCTTCATTCCACAAACACACGCAGGGAGATCAGCGAGGCCGTCTGTTTTGAGACACCTTCCCACTGTCCTGTGTGTTTAATGACACAGCTGGTCAGAAGTGAAAAGAAATGGCGAAGGGCTGAGACAGTGTAAGGGTAAGAGTAAGAGAGAGAGAGAAAGAGGAGGAGGTCAAGAGTAAAGGAAGAGAGAAAGAGAGAAGGAAAAAGGAGAGAAAGAGATACAGAGTGAAAGAAAGGAGAGAGAGAGGAAGGGGGAGTGAGAAAGAAGGACAGAGTACAACAGAGAGAGGAAAGCAATGAGAGTCAAACAGAGAGGGCAGAAAGAGAGACTACTCTTTTTTATTGAAGGATTTGTTCTGTATCTGCGTGTGTAATTTAGCTAAAGCAGCTGAAGTCGTGTTCAGTGACCTTCCCTAAATAAGCCGAGGGCACTGGCCTGATGAAGCCTGAGCCTCAGAGACAGAGAGAGAGAGAGAGAGAGAGAGAGAGAGAGAGACAGAGAGAGAGAGAGAGAGAGAGAGATAGAGAGAGAGAGAGAGAGATCAGCCATGTAAATACTGAAACGCTTATTGCTAGCAGTTAGCAATTCTAAAGCTACTTTTATATGGAGCACGATATTCAGTTTAACACTGTCAAATAAACAGTGCAATTAGCAATCAGTAATCAAACTGATGCTGATGCTGATGCTGTTTTAACTCCTAATGAATGCTGTGATTTAAATCTCTGATAATTATTCATCCAACAAAGTAATATATTAAGAGAATACTCTAGCATTCAAAAGTTTGGAATCATTTTTCAAAAGTTTGGAATCAATGTTTTCAATAATGCTACAGCAATTTGGTTGCAGAAAACTGTTAAGAGTTAATGTAATAACTCTAACCCTGTTCAACTTAACAGATAATCGGAAGCTGTAAATAAAAATGAAAAAATCTTAGATGTTTCCAGAATGAAGAACAGAGCCATATATACTAAAATGACTGAGAAGACTGTAGAGCTTCAAGAAATAAGTTATAATAAAATTAACAGGCAGAATTTATTGACTGATCAAAGGTGATCAAACCTCAAAGCAGACAACTTGACAAAACACATTTCACAGGTCACATTTGAATCAGGTAAATTCAGTGTATCACTTTTCAGAAAGGTAGAGGCAGCAACCAACAGCCAGATAGCCTATTTGTGCTTCATCACTCCTCAAAATCACGCACATGTTCAAAAGCGGAGTGAGAATAAAACTTTGGCTGTGAAAAATCTGTTTTTGTACTTATAGGAGGCTTTTATGTGCTGGAGTTTCACACAAGTCAAATATCTCAGTGCTTCAAAGGACAGACGTGTTTTTTTTCCCCTCAAATAAGTGTTTCAAACATACGCGAACAAAGCTGGAATACACAAGACATTTACCATACATTAAACATTACTGCTTTAAACGCATTGATATTGTTCCACAGCAAGATCCTTTTTAAACTACAAACTGTTTTCCTTCAGTTTAGGTCTTCAAATGAGCAAAGAACATGAGCTGATTTTTAATTTACAATAAATATATGCACAGTACTGAAAAAATGCTATATATTTAAGAAATAAATGCTTAAAAGAAGCAAATTTATGAGAATAAAGAGGGTAAAATCATTTTACTTGGTAAGTGTCGTTGTCTGGCAACTGGCTGAACACATTTACATGCAAAGTGTGATTTAATATAGTCTCATGAAAGGAAATATTAAAGATTTATAACTTACATTTAAGATATTTTCAATTTCTACATCACTTTCTGCACTGTGGTCCTTTCAGAATCTTTAATCAGAATGAATTCATCTGAAATAATAACACTGAGTATGAAAGGAAGTCTATACTGATCTCAGCTCAATCAAACTTCTTTTACATTAAACACTTACAAGTGAAAATCTGTCATAAATTTGTAAAAAACAAGCTTGCACCTACAGCTACAGTGTAAAGAAATCATAAACGCTGCCATGCTTGTCCTAGAATGACAACGCTCTACACAAAATCTGGACATAAAAGACACAATTACTTTCATTGTGTTTTGATTCTAGCCTGTATCCAGATGTCCAGACTCCCACACACAGATGCACACACACCAGTATATCATTGCTCAGCTACAGTTAGAACTCACAGTGGTCAGCACATAGTTGAGATTTCTAATAAAGTGGCCAGTGAGTGGAAATATGAGGTAGGTGTTTCTAATAAAGTGGCCAGTGAGTGGAAGTACAAGATAGGTGTTTCTAATAAAGTGGCCAGTGAGTGGAAGTACAAGGTAGGTGTTTCTAATAAACTGGCCAGTGAGTGTAATGATACCTACGTAATTTGTGTAGAAGAGATACACCAAATAAAACACTGTCAATCTGTCACCATTCATATCACTGACCCTGTCTGGTTGGCAGCTCATTCATCAAAGCATTAGACTGTACTATGACAAAGTTAAAAACTGGAATTAACACAGGAATCGATTCAGATGTTCTTTCATCCAAAAATATGTGACTTGCAAACTAATACTTGTTCGGGGCGTAATTGACAGTACACTGATGAATGATGCAGATGCATATGAAAGTGTTGTGCTCTTTTTTTTTCTTTAGTCCCAAAGGGTTTCCTGTTTAAGCAGAAAATTACTCATGAATAGTCATACTGACCGGAAAATGAGTGGCAACAATGATGAGTACATGTCACAGCAAAAAAAACTGTATTAACCTCTATTAAACTGCAAAATTAGTATGCGGTTATAAATCTCAAAACATTCATTCTGCTATGAAAGTAATCTGTAAGTTATGTGGTAATGGGAGGGAGGAACCAACCTAGTGTATATAAATTGTTGTAATCTAGTCTAAAGTAGGGGGTATAGTGTGTAACTGTTAGCAAGACAAGCCTGGCTAGCACTCAGCAGCACAACTAAAACACTTACCTAGCTGCATAAATATCTATCATTCTAACATTTTAGTCTTCTCCAAATATATTTTTGAATGCTTTTGGTATATTTCTAACATTAAGTATTTTACTTTGTTTTTTATTCATGTTCAGTATGGGGCACATTTAGACTACAGATAGCTGCCGTTAACTTCAACTCTGTGAGGGACCATGCAAGCATCTGCACACAAAGCTTATCAGAGGTGCCCATGTCTACTTACAGTTTCTAGGCTAGGACTGGATAGTTGGTTTTTAGGGAACGGGTTTACCCAGACTCTCGTTTGTAGGACACTGCAACGTTTTGTTTTTAGTTTGACAGGCAACTGGACACAGGGATTGTTGCATTTCCATGGCCCTTGAGTTGCAGTGTTAAGTCAGTACTGCTCTGTTAATTCAGTAAACATTTCATATGTAGAGATAGTAATGGCCAGTGATAGCATATTACTACGCATTCTAAGTGGGTATATGCAAATTATAGCGGTTTCCTAGTGGACAGGGTATTCCTGGCGTATTGTGTAAACCAGTGTTTTTTAACACTGGTCCTGAAGGCCCACTGCCCTGCACTTTTTAGGGTTTACCCTGCTCCCAACACACCTGACCAAACCAATCAGCTCATTGACAATGAGCTATTGAGTGGGTGTGTTAAATCAGGAAAAGGTCTAAAATGTGCAGGGCAGTGGGCCTCCAGGACTGGTACAGTGGTGCAGACTACACTTTTGGCTACTCAGAACTCATGTATCATAGATCTAAAAAGTGAAGCTTTTTTGGAGACAGTGACAGCAGCAAAGACAGAAATCTTTAGATACAAATGAAAAACTGCCATTCAAAACTTCCACTGGGTGTCCAAACAGTAGTCCCTCGCTGTCTTCAAACAAATAACTGATGACTCAGCTTTTTGTGAAACATTTATATGAACGCTAATCTAAGTGCTTGTATTGCAGTTATGTCTTATTTCTGTATTGTGTATCTTTCTTTCCAGGTATCAGCGCTGACTTCAGTTTCGGGCAGCATCTTAGCTCAAGCGTACTTTAGACACTAACCTATTAAAAATAGCTAGGAAATAATCTATGAGTCGACAACAATGCACTTTTGTAAGTCATCTAGTTAAGGGGTCTGCTAAATGCTGTAAATGTAATGACGGAGCATGGCCAGCTCAATTTATTATGAAACTAACTATGTAACTGATTGTGTGATTACTTTTAAATAGTATTGCTAAATGACAGTAATGTTGCTAGACCGCTAAGGGTTAAAATCAGTCAAGACACATAATACACTCACACAGTGTTAGTACTGATCATTTCAGAACTGATGTGGATGTCGATTGTGAAGGTGTGAAAGTACAGGGCAAGTGTGTGTGTGTGTGTTTATGAGTGCATGTGTACCTACCTTTACTCTGTGGTGGGTTTTGGCTGCGGTCCCTCAGTATATTGATCTGATAGACGGCTCCATACGGCTCAAACAGCTCCTTCAGCTCCTTCTCTGACCATGAGCGAGGAATCTGACCCACAAACATCTTAATGGCATCTGGGTCCGGCTGGTCCGAATGCTCCAGAGCCCCGTTCATCTTACCAGCTGTGCCGTTACTGCACAGAGAGAGAGAGAGAGAGAGAAAAGAGATATATCAGATCATATACTCAGAAAAGTGTATTGTGACATAGTTGTTTGCAATAACGATGATATATTGCCAAGTTTGCAACCCCCCGTTGTATTGCCTATATAACAGTTACGTTGAGACTGAAATATTGAAATAATGTATAGTCAGAACTGAATGCATCTGAATTTAACTGAGATAGAAATAGAAAGAGACAGAAGCATACACACACACGCACACGCACACGCACACACACAGATTCATTTCACTGCAAATTCACTTCACCGCCCGACAAAGGCTTTCATCAGAAATGTCTTCTCCAGCATTTCAAAAAAGCTTCAAAGGTCAGCATGAACTGTCCTGTTACGTCTCCACAAATCACACTTCACTGTCAGAGGCTCTGCAGGCCCCGGGGGAAACGGAAACCACTCTGGTTTGGGTTTGCTTTTGGGTTTTGCTCTCCAGCAGCTGCTTTCAACCAGCAGAACCGACTGAACTGGACACTACAATCAGCAGAATGTCTATAACAGATGCTCGGATAAAACAGATGTTCAAATAAAACACGGCTAATAGTACTTCCTCCTGACCCTGCTGGACGCATTGATCTTTTGGCCCAAATGTGATTTTGTTCAAAATGTTCATGTATTATGCTCAAAAGTCCACATCAAAACACATCTTGCCAACCTGACTCACCAGACAGCCTGCAGTTGTAATTCTTTCCGACCAATTAATGAAAACAAGCTTTTGGTTCTAGACAGTATGGTTCTGATTTCAAACAGTGACATCCTGGAATATTGCAGACAAGAAATGACACAAAAATGACCATTAGCTGACTTTCTCATGCTGTTTGTCTGTACGAGAAGCAGGGCTGGGCAGTATGACAGTATTTATCATTATTGTGATAGCAGTAAGTTACAATATGCTTTTTGAGCATATCATGGATGATATTAGTACTTAAAAACTAATATATGATAACAAAGGGACCATAATTGTCATATTTAATTAGATTTAATGTAGCACAATATATGAACTATTGAATACAAATAGGTGGATTCATAGTTTTTCATAGTACATGTTTTTTTTTTTTTTACATGTGGTACTACTTTGTCTGTTCAAACCTATAGTATAGAATAAAGTAGTATAATAAGTATAATATTGTTGTTGTCGGAACAAAAACCTGTATCTCCAAAATAGTAACTTTACAGAAGATGGAAAAAAACATACTTTACTTTTAATGTAAATGTCAATGGAAACAGACAAAACAGAGTTTTTCCGAGTAATTTTGGGCCGTTTCCTTTGGTCCATTTATCATGAAATTAAGAAACAATGTGTAGAGCAACAGGCATTTTCAAACTATGTCAAGAACTGAAAAACGACAAAAACGGAGATACAAAGTTTTGTTCTGACAGCAGCGATACTCAGATCCTGTATAATTTAGAATTATGTAGTTTAATATAGCATAATGTATAAGTTTAAAACAGTGTATAGTACAGAATAATGGGTAGGGCTTTATGTGGATAGCCCACTGTGGATGTTTATTTTGCATTTAACTTACATTCAACTAAATATGTATTAAACTGACCCTTATACCTGTCCCTACACCAAACTCTAACTTTAACCTCAAACCCTCACCAAAACCCAAACCTAACTTAATCCTAATACTGATGGTAATCAACTGTTTTACCAGAGCATTTGTTAATAATTGAACATATATAGATCATCTATTAGGGCATGTTCACCTAAAGTGGGACAGAATAATGCAATGCAGTATAGTACACAGTAAAGTACCATGTTGTGGCTTGTTTTTAAGTAGCAGCAGAAAAAAGTAGAAAATCTGTGCACAGTAGAAAGATAAGGGCACTAATACAGCCTGCACTGAGAAGAGGCCTAGTTTTTTAGAGTGTTGAGTCAAAGCACCTAGCAGGGATACAAGTGATAATACAGCCCTGTCACCAATACACTTTACAGGATTTAAAGGTTGGGATCACAGAGAGAGAGAGAGAGAGAGAGAGAGAGAGAGAGAAGAGAAAGAAATATGGAGATATAGAGTGAGTGAGAGAGAGTGAGAGAGAAGAGAAAGAAATATGGAGATATAGAGTGAGTGAGAGAAAGAGAGAGAGAGAGAGAAAGGGAAAGGAATATAGATACAGAGAGAGAAAAGACAGAAATAGAAATAAAGACATGCAAAAAGAGAAGTGGAGAGAGAGAAAAAAAGGCATAGAGGGGTAGAAAAACAGAGAGAGAGCAAGAAAGAAAAAGAAATGGAGAGGAATGAGTTAAAATCAGAATCACAGAGAGAGAGAGAAGTAAGACACAGAAGGAGAGGAAAACATGATGAAGAGGGCGACTGACAACGCAAAAGCAGGAATCACAGAGGAAGAGACAAATAGAGAGAGGGAGAGAGAGATAGATGAATAGATGGGGAGAGACAGAGAGACCCCCCCCCCAATTATGCTCCTCCCTGCTGAATCCAAAAATGTACAAATCTATATTCAGAAGTGAAAATCTGACAACACTGAATGACGCAGCATTTTTTTTTCTCTTTCTAACACTGCAGCTGCTTGGACCTCAACGTTTTCATGGCATAAACAAGGACAACATTTAAAGAAATAATTCAGAGAGAAATCAAATTTACACAATTTTCTCCTCACCCTTTACAGTACAGACAAAATGTAGGCCTTAGGATGGCTACTGCTGTCTGTAGCTATGTTAATGTCAGCTAACGGTATGTTACACAGTGTCAGAAACCATATAAGCAAGTCAGATTACTTAACAGCTCGACACGGTTTGAGGCGAGCATGTAATGATTGTGCAATTAGCATGATGCTAATTTGTAGGGTATAAGCTTCCATTGCTTTTTAGCTACATTAGAGTCGAAGCACCAGTACAAAACAAAAGAAGCAAACTTCAGACACCAAACATGCCTTTGATGATCGAATATATTTGTATTAAGGGGGGAATATGATTATATTGCTTGAAAGAAAAGATTGCAGCATCTCCAGAGATAAATTACAGCAAAAAGGGAGCAGTGAGACTGTCAAAGATAGAAAAAAATCAGTAAGAAAGAAAGTACAAAGGAAAGAAAGATACAAGAAGTCTTTCAGGAAACTTTCTTTAAGGAAAGAATGGCAAGCTGAAAGAGAGAATGACAAGGCCACAATGCCTCGCTGGCATAAATAAAGAAAGAAAGAAAGAAAGAAAGAAATAACCCTCCCATATGACAACAAGGCCTTCCACTACTGTAGAGTTAACATTAAAGCAAGAAAGAAAGAAAAAAAGAAAGAAGGAAAGAGAGGTAAACAAAAAAGCAAAGGACATAGAATAATATAGAATACAATAAAATACAACAGCATAAACTGAAAGAAACATGTAGCTATGTGAAATGTGCAGAAAAATAGAAGAAAGCAAGATGATGAAAGAAAAGTTAGAAAGAAAGAAAGAGAACAAAAAGGACAGAAATCGAAAGATTAGCATATCTAGATTACTGCCGAAAGAAACACATAGCTTATGTGAGATGTGTGCAAGAAAGCAAGACGAAGAAAGCAAAAGGTGAAAATGAAACGGAGGAAAGAAATAAAGAGAACTGAAGACAATGGTTTGTTAATTAGTGTATGAAGGGCCATGGTGGAAGTTTTTCTTTTTTTTTCTGAATGCACAGTATGTTATTCTGAGATATAGCAAAGGAAAGAGGAACGGAGATAAAGAGAGGGAAAGAATAAAGGAATAAGGAGAAAAGAGAAAAAAGCCAGAGAGAGAAACACACCTCTGAACTCTGTTCATCCATCTCTTGCAGAAGGAGCCGATTCGCTCGGCTGAGACGCCAAAGTCTTTAAACGATTTAAACGACATCGCCCAGTTAGCAGGTCCCCACGGCAACCGCCTCCCAATAAATCCCCCAGCAGTTACCACGGCGATAAGGGCACCCCCTCAACGCCAATCAGGAGCAATAAAGGCAAAAGAAACGAGCATCGCACAAACCCAGGGGCCACGGAGCACGAGCCAGAGAGAGAGAGACAGAGACAGAGAGAATAAGAGAGAGAAAGCGAAAGAGAAAAAGAGAGAAAGAGCGAGAGAGAGAAAGAGAGAGAGAGTGTGTGCGAGAGAGAAGGGACAGAGAGTGTCAGGGTGCTGTGCGCTTGTCACATACACAATTGCTAATTGTTCTGTTTTACGAGGTCCGACTCCAAGAAGACAAAGGCACAAGTCACAGGGATGCCTGGCAGGACCAACACACTACACACATACACACTAGTGTGTACTGCTGTGTGTGTCTGTGTGTTTGTAACCCAACCCTAACCTTAACCTCAGATCAGCTTTGGTCTCTTAATGTTTCTAATAAAAGCTACAGTTTTTGAGGAAGAAAAGCATTTTTCTCTGTTGAGAGTGGACTAATGTCCCCACAACCACTAGGGGTTCAGGTTTCCAACACACTGGAGTAATTTGGTCCCTATAAAGAGATAAAAACCAAACACACACATAAACCTGTAGCATAGCCAGAATTTTGTTTTTAGGGGGCCCGGTCACAAGTTCAGGGGGCCTGTTAACATTATGTCCCAGAGACATTGCTAAAGTGAAGATAACCTCCATCAACTAGCCAACTTCAGCATAGCTACTATAAGAAAATGATTTTTCCATTTAACTGCCAAGCTAACAGCATAGCACAGCAGGTACTGGCTAAGTAACCACAAGCCTACCTTTTACAGCAACAGGCATAGGCAACTGGGGCGAATGGCTGCTGGCTGCAGTATTCTCGTCAGCAGTATTGAACCTTGTTTTCTTTACCACAGTGAACTTAACTGCTTACCTATCTCACTAACTACTAGCTTTGAACCAGAACAGTTTAGTTAAGTTTAGAAATAGTCAAGCAGGGGGACGGCGTTACAGATCGGCATTGTAAAACAAAATTTTTCTGTGACTTGCTGTGGAGTAAAACAGCGACGGTTTGCTTAGAAGATTGTGTGCAATATATACCATCGTTCGATCGCACCCCCT